ATGAAACCGTTGAACTCCGGACGATATAACCCTCTGTGTACAACTGTTGAAATCCTGGGTCAACAATCCCTTGGGTCAAACTGTCGTCGAATCCTGGGCTAACAACCCCCTGGTTAAACCCTTAAAATATTACAAAGAAAAATGTCAATACACATTGACTCAAGTATCCCGAACTATAGGATTACCCAAAAATGTACATAAACTAGAAAATATTCAGTATCTAGGATAAAGAAAAACTACATTGGCTCAACAGTGAGTCATAAACAGTATTATGAGCTCCAATAATTAAAATTCTGTTACACATGGTTGGTAACATAACCTAATATATACAAAACATACCTTTTTCGTAAAGGGTTAACTTGGTAGTCTTCCAAGGATGAGAAACACGTGAGAAGATCCACAGCACAACAATATTCCACACTCCAAATGCTGTGATTTTCCAATTATTGCGTTAAAATCCTATAATAGATATGGGCTGGACCAATGACCATAGGAATTTACTAATACACTAAAATTCCTCAAAATACGAAATGTCCATTTACCCACAATTAACCATGAAGTAGAATCTAAAATCCCCTTTAACTAGGGTAAGCCGATGGGGCTAAATATTAAGAAAATTCTACTTCGACGCAAAATTCGTCCTTCTTGTGATTCAATCACCCACTGACAGAAACAATACGTCAGCCGTCCAAAATGGCCGAAATCCCTTTCCGATAAATGTCAAGTGGGTTCAGAAATTCATCCTCAAGAATTCCCCACTATATAACTTAACAGACCATTTACGAAAGGTACCCTAGAAAACTATATTTATATACAGTATAACTACATTTGGGAAACTGTTCCCGACAAAAATTAATACCACAGCGATCGCAAAAAAATCCCTCACGACTTAAAATCGCTCATTGTGAAACTACCTTACCTCGGGTTCTGAGCCCGTCATTGGAACGTACTACAAACATGACACTTGTCGGTGTTCTGTCGTCAAGTGACGTTTATGTCATTCACTGTCACAATTAAGAAATATTAACCTAATAAAAATAAACAATGAAATTCTTAAAGAATGGTATCGTAAATAATTAATTACCCAAAGGTGAGACTATAATACATAATATGTATAAATTTACAATGAAACGTGGTCTATTTTTAGGAGAATCTGGCAAATTAAAACAGGGAACACTACACCGCAAATATGACCAATGTACAAAGTATTATACTACCTTTTACTTAGTGGTGAGATGAAATAAATTATAATAAAGATGTCCAAAAGTTAGAATACAGGTGAAATTAGTTAATGACAAAAATAATAGTGATATCATCAATACGATTTTACCCTTTTTTTTCGTATGATTAATCAGGTAAGCCAAAACAATGTTATTAATTCGTGGGGCCAAAAATGAACGTTACAGTGTGTGTGTGTGTGTGTGTGTGTGTGTGTGTGTGTGTGTGTGTGTGTGTGTGTGTGTGTGTGTGTGTGTGTGTGTGTGTGTGTGTGTGTGTGTGTGTGTGTGTGTGTGTGTGTGTGTGTGTGTGTGTGTGTGTGTGTGTGTGTGTGTGGTGTGTGTGTGTGTGTGTGTGTGTGTGTGTGTGTGTGTGTGTGTGTGTGTGTGTGTGTGTGTGTGTGTGTGTGTGTGTGTGTGTGTGTGTGTGTGTGTGTGTGTGTGTGTGTGTGTGTGTGTGTGTGTGTGTGTGTGTGTGTGTGTGTGTGTGTGTGTGTGTGTGTGTGTGTGTGTGTGTGTGTGTGTGTGTGTGTGTGTGTGTGTGTGTGTGTGTGTGTGTGTGTGTGTGTGTGTGTGTGTGTGTGTGTGTGTGTGTGTGTGTGTGTGTGTGTGTGTGTGTGTGTGTGTGTGTGTGTGTGTGTGTGTGTGTGTGTGTGTGTGTGTGTGTGTGTGTGTGTGTGTGTGTGTGTGTGTGTGTGTGTGTGTGTGTGTGTGTGTGTGTGTGTGTGTGTGTGTGTGTGTGTGTGTGTGTGTGTGTGTGTGTGTGTGTGTGTGTGTGTGTGTGTGTGTGTGTGTGTGTGTGTGTGTGTGTGTGTGTGTGTGTGTGTGTGTGTGTGTGTGTGTGTGTGTGTGTGTGTGTGTGTGTGTGTGTGTGTGTGTGTGTGTGTGTGTGTGTGTGTGTGTGTGTGTGTGTGTGTGTGTGTGTGTGTGTGTGTGTGTGTGTGTGTGTGTGTGTGTGTGTGTGTGTGTGTGTGTGTGTGTGTGTGTGTGTGTGTGTGTGTGTGTGTGTGTGTGTGTGTGTGTGTGTGTGTGTGTGTGTGTGTGTGTGTGTGTGTGTGTGTGTGTGTGTGTGTGTGTGTGTGTGTGTGTGTGTGTGTGTGTGTGTGTGTGTGTGTGTGTGTGTGTGTGTGTGTGTGTGTGTGTGTGTGTGTGTGTGTGTGTGTGTGTGTGTGTGTGTGTGTGTGTGTGTGTGTGTGTGTGTGTGTGTGTGTGTGTGTGTGTGTGTGTGTGTGTGTGTGTGTGTGTGTGTGTGTGTGTGTGTGTGTGTGTGTGTGTGTGTGTGTGTGTGTGTGTGTGTGTGTGTGTGTGTGTGTGTGTGTGTGTGTGTGTGTGTGTGTGTGTGTGTGTGTGTGTGTGTGTGTGTGTGTGTGTGTGTGTGTGTGTGTGTGTGTGTGTGTGTGTGTGTGTGTGTGTGTGTGTGTGTGTGTGTGTGTGTGTGTGTGTGTGTGTGTGTGTGTGTGTGTGTGTGTGTGTGTGTGTGTGTGTGTGTGTGTGTGTGTGTGTGTGTGTGTGTGTGTGTGTGTGTGTGTGTGTGTGTGTGTGTGGTGTGTGTGTGTGTGTGTGTGTGTGTGTGTGTGTGTGTGTGTGTGTGTGTGTGTGTGTGTGTGTGTGTGTGTGTGTGTGTGTGTGTGTGTGTGTGTGTGTGTGTGTGTGTGTGTGTGTGTGTGTGTGTGTGTGTGTGTGTGTGTGTGTGTGTGTGTGTGTGTGTGTGTGTGTGTGTGTGTGTGTGTGTGTGTGTGTGTGTGTGTGTGTGTGTGTGTGTGTGTGTGTGTGTGTGTGTGTGTGTGTGTGTGTGTGTGTGTGTGTGTGTGTGTGTGTGTGTGTGTGTGTGTGTGTGTGTGTGTGTGTGTGTGTGTGTGTGTGTGTGTGTGTGTGTGTGTGTGTGTGTGTGTGTGTGTGTGTGTGTGTGTGTGTGTGTGTGTGTGTGTGTGTGTGTGTGTGTGTGTGTGTGTGTGTGTGTGTGTGTGTGTGTGTGTGTGTGTGTGTGTGTGTGTGTGTGTGTGTGTGTGTGTGTGTGTGTGTGTGTGTGTGTGTGTGTGTGTGTGTGTGTGTGTTGTGTGTGTGTGTGTGTGTGTGTGTGTGTGTGTGTGTGTGTGTGTGTGTGTGTGTGTGTGTGTGTGTGTGTGTGTGTGTGTGTGTGTGTGTGTGTGTGTGTGTGTGTGTGTGTGTGTGTGTGTGTGTGTGTGTGTGTGTGTGTGTGTGTGTGTGTGTGTGTGTGTGTGTGTGTGTGTGTGTGTGTGTGTGTGTGTGTGTGTGTGTGTGTGTGTGTGGTGTGTGTGTGTGTGTGTGTGTGTGTGTGTGTGTGTGTGTGTGTGTGTGTGTGTGTGTGTGTGTGTGTGTGTGTGTGTGTGTGTGTGTGTGTGTGTGTGTGTGTGTGTGTGTGTGTGTGTGTGTGTGTGTGTGTGTGTGTGTGTGTGTGTGTGTGTGTGTGTGTGTGTGTGTGTGTGTGTGTGTGTGTGTGTGTGTGTGTGTGTGTGTGTGTGTGTGTGTGTGTGTGTGTGTGTGTGTGTGTGTGTGTGTGTGTGTGTGTGTGTGTGTGTGTGTGTGTCAGTATCCACCATAACTCATGAACCGATACAAAGAAAAACACCAAATTTGAAACTTAAGCTTTATTGCGGCCTGTGGTGAACTGATTAGATTTTGGACAGAGTCGGAACATTTGGGGGGTACTTTACTGGTGGTCATTTTTATATTTTATAGAATATATTCGTTATTTACGTTTGTAGAAGAAAATTCTTCAAATAAAAGTTGTTTATAATATAATTCTCTATAATTCTTATTTCATGCATAATTTCTCTAAAATGGACCGTATTCGAGATATTTGAGAAAATGTGTAAATTTCGAATTTTGAAGAAAACTCAAAAACGGATAAAGGCAAAAACATAAAATTTTAAACTTAAGTTTTATTTCGGCCTGAGGTGAAATGATTAGATTTTGGACGAAGGCGAAACATCTGGGGAGGTACTTTATGGGAGGGCCGTTTTTATATTTTATGGAATATATATTATAGAAAAATGTGTCGAGTATGTGGAAAATGTATATATTTAGTTTATCCTCTAAACATTTATAGAGGTGCTGCAATAGGTTGTACCAAATAACCGGAAAAGGCCTATAATAACTAGATAGGAAAGTCATGTGTTGGACACATTAGATTTTTTTGTATAATACAACTGAAAACTGGGCACCTCCTCTGCATCTTTTTGTTTAATAAATTTATTAATTTAATTTCTGCAAAAGATATTAAAAACATTAATTTTTTCCAAACAATAGATAGATATATTTGATTAATTAATTTTATATAAATAAAAATATCTTTGGTTTATTCACACGCTGAAACAGAAAGATAGACTGTAATCATCCGAATGTTTTAATAAATTTTGACTGCACCCGAAGATGGAATTTTTTCCGAAACATATGTAGTGCTATGCTAAAAGATAGAAAATGTAAACATGACCGAATAAACCAAGGAAATTTTTATTTATATAAAATTCGGCTACGGTCAGGAAATTATCCTTATTCCAATAATTAATTTTAATGTTATTGTTTTAAGAGTTGCCTACAACCTTCGTACTATTTCAGTTTCCTACGTTTATGCACTTAGTCCATAATAATTTACTATATTTTCAAGATTATCTTAAATATACAGGTATAAAATCTACTATCCTTACCATATCACTGATAAAATCTTGCATTGATGATGTTGACCTTTAAAATGCTTTTCCCACCAATTTTCTTCCCAACATAAATGCAGGTAACTTGTTATGGAGATGCATTCTCGGTAAACATGTATCTTCTGGGATATTACCTTGTTGTTTTGTTGACGGTGGTAGTTACCGTAAGAGCCGGAAGAAATGTTCGGGCAAAAGATTTAAAGGTTACCTTACCAAGTGGTGATAAGATGTCTATGATAGGATGTAAGTAGATTTATAAAAAATAATGATTGATTAAAAAAATAGAGGAAAACTGTGAAGTTTTAAGTACATAGTATTGATAACTTTTCCTGAAAACTACGTTTTAGATCTTATTTAAATTTTAAAAAAATAATTGATCCTAATTTTTTTTATTTATTTTTTCAAATAATGTTTGAAACCACTGGAATTTTTTTTGATATAATAAATATTTTTGTTAGAAAAAGTGGACAGTATTTTACATTGTAATAATATAATATTGTAACGATTGCCTAATTTAAAAATAGTTTATTTATTAAAACCAATTTATTTATAATTTATTTATAACATACTAATTAATTAGTTTAATACTTAGGCACTATTATAACTCGCAATTCTAATTTATTTATTACAATAAATCTTTACTATAAAACACGTATATTGAACTCTTTTTGTCTACTGTCAATGTCGCGCTGTTTATATATAGCTCTGTTCCAGTAGTTTCTCGGCTATCTAAAATATCTGGAAATTCTTCCTCTGTGAGGTACAGACTTTCCCAAGATCTTTGAAGCTTCGGAGAAAAACCCTTTTGTCTTTTTGGGTTATGGAGCCAGATTTTGTCGCCTTCCATGAAACATCCCTCTGTGGCGTTGGCACTCACTCATGCATGTCGTCCATTATTCTTCATAGCTGGATCACATAATCGTCATCGGCTGTGTCTTCTTCAGGTCGGCATCCAAACTCGAGGTCACACGGTAGTCTCATCTCACGCCCGAACAGCACCTTCGCTAGTGTTTGGCCTGTAGATTCATTGACAGCGGGTCTATATGTCATTACGAAGGGCGAAATTTAGTGATCCCAATCTCGCTGATGGTTGGAAACCACATTTGACAGGTATTTGCCAATTGTCTTATTTATTCGCTCTACCATTTCATCCGACTCAGGGTGCAATGGTTTTTAAAGATGGTTTTTAAAATTTCTGCCTTAGTCACTGTGGATCTCCAAATCTACTAATAAATTATTTTATTAACATGTCTGTAACAGTTGCGGCCTCTTGATTTAAAATGGCGAGGACTTCTACCCACTTCGCGAAATAATTCAGAACCACCATCATGTATTTATTACCATCCTCGGTCATGGAGAATAGTCCAGCAATATCTAAGGCAATCCTCTCAAATGGGTTACTGACGTTGTACTTCTTCATGGGGGCCTTCCTTTTTCGTTGAGGTCCATTACTCATAGCACAGGTGGTACATTTCTTACACCACTCCATTACGTCATTGGAACTGTTAATTCAATAAAACCTTCCACGAACTCTCTGAAGGGTTTTCTTAACACCAAGATGTCCTCCTAATAAACTGTCGTGTAACTGACGAAGTACTTCGGCTACTCTAGCCTTTGGAATGACCAACTGTTTTCTGTTTTCAGAACCTCATTTTCTAGTACTCGCTTTAATAAGCCTTCTTCCAGGATAAAAGAGTCTCACTGAGCTAAATATGACAACAACTAGAGAGAGACTTGCTACTTCTTGCCAATTAGGTCGCCGATTTTACTCTTTTCATTGTCGCATCTTCTTTAACACAGGATCGGTCTCTTGTTCTTCCCTAAGTTTAGCAGGGGCCCACCCATCGTTGACTACAGTTGTTCTTAATAGTCCACTTTCTTTGGATTCTGCTCTGTTGCAGTAAGACCACTCTGCTGGGCACGGTCTTCTAGAAAGATAATTGGCATTTCTAAGGTTTATTCTGGCTCTATGTTCGATCTTAAAGTCGTACTCTTAAATTCGTTTGGTCCATCTAGCGATTTGGACCTCCGGGTTCTTGAACTGCATCAACTACTTAAGAGCTGCATGATCGATCCGGATTAGAAATTCCCTTTCATATAGGTATTGGTAGAAGTGTTCCACACATTTCAAAACTGCCAGGAGTCATCTTCTCCTGACGCAGAAATTTCGCTCCGGTTTCGAGAGCACTTTACTAAAATAACTTAGTACTTTTTCTTTTCCCCCTGAATCTGTAGAAGCAACCCTCGAATTCCTACATTACTGGCATTAGTATTCAGAATAAATTCTTCCTCTGGTAGTGGGTAGCCTAGTATTTGCGCTATTGTTAAATGCTTCTTTAAAGTTTCAAAGGCAGTTTGGCAGTCTTCGTCCCAGCAGAATTATCTCGCTTCTTCTGTGAGTCGTGTTAATGGCATATAAATATCTGCGAACTTCCTTATGAATCTTCGGTAGTTAGGTACAGAGTCGAAGAAAAACTTCTTATTTGATATTTATCAATTGGTTGTGGCCATTGTTTGATGTAAGCGACTTTCTCCTTATCTACAGCCACGCCATCCTTGCTAACTATATATTAACTATATTTTGAAATTACAGGCATTTCTTGGGGTTCAGCATCAATTTGGCAGCTTGGAATCTTTCTAAGTTCTTTAGATGTTTATAGGGTTGCCACCTTTTTGAAAAGAGAATAAAGGGCTACGATGCTGACAGGGGCTCCGGTATATAAAAAGTTCTCTTCTACTGAACTTAAAAAAAAGTCGCCGAGCTTCTAACAAAAAAATCCTCCTCGTCATTCTACAAAATAAAAAAATTGTCAGCTATATACTTTTGTACAAACCACGTTCCTTTCAAAGATATGTGCAGAAAAAAAAGACATTTGCCGTAAAAAAGGAAATTTTAAGCTTTAAAAAGTCACAAGGACATTTTGCTTCAAAAAAAGGACTGTCCTTTTTAAAAAAGGACAGGTGGTAACCCTAAATGTTTATCAAATGTCTTCCCCAAGAATATGATGTCGTCTAAATATACTAGGCATGTTTTCCAGGATAACCCCCTCAATACTTTTTCCATAAGTCTTTTATATGTTGCGGGGGCATTACATAGTCCGAATAGCATGACATTGACTTGCCATAATCCAGATTCGGTGGTTAAAGCTGTATTTTCTTTGTCTACTGGGTTCACTTCCAGACTTCAAGTCTAAGGTACAAAATAGTTTACTTCCGGCCAATGTGTCCAAGGTATTGTGGAAGTTACTGGTACACAAGTTCTGATTCTGGTCTCTTTCTTGATGGTAATTGGGTGATCATTAACCTTTATAATACAGGACTGGAATTTCTTTAACGGCAAAGGGATCAGGGTTGGCTTAAGGTGGTTAACACGACAATATTATTGTCAGTATAAATAGTAAATAGTGTGTGTGCACTGCACCGCTTGGGCCAACCAAGCTCATCGTATCCTTTAGTTGTTCTATATAGTAGTGTTGATAGGCATATGCCTGCCATAAGATTAATTAACAACTTTCTTGTCAAAAGTATTTTGATAAAAAATAAAAAATGGATAATGAAAAATTTTAAAGTAATCTTCCTTGAGAATTAATTCAGACGAAAAGTGCAATGCGAGCGAAAGGAGTTGAATATCTATAACATGTAAATATGTTACGTTATGTTGCATTTTATATGATTCTAATAAGCGTTCGAAATTTTTCCCTATTTTAGAACATATCATTAGTTTTTTAAAAAAGATAGCCTCTGAGCACGATATTTCAGTTTCGATTTCTCCAAAATTTGTTGAAGTATGCCATCAGTAAATTAATTAATTTGTTTTGATGGATCTACACCGGCTGCACCGCTCTGCGCTAATTGGCTGCCCCGCTCTGCGCTAACCGGCGCATACCGTTTGTTTGTATGTTAATATATTTTTAACATTGTGCACGAAAGTTCAGATAGGCTGCTCCGCTCTGTAGCAAACATTTGCTCCTTATTGTTCCACTACGCGCGTTAAGATAATAATATTAATATGAACGATACTGTAATTGTTATGGCTGCCAGTGTATCTATTTTTTTATTTATTATATATATTTTTTTTTTTATAAATATCGTTCTGCGACATTTTATAAAACTACAGGAAATGATAATAACAGAAACGTAATGTTTGCTGATCACGCCCTAACGCGTACGAACCGAGAATTTCTTTTGATGTACCGACCACTTGTGAAATAGAGATGGGTTGCTTTTTAGTAAACTGCTATTTGACAACTGTTATTTGAACTAAGCAGCTTTCAACTGCTATCGGCTATTACAAATCGCTGCTTTTTAAATAGCAGTTTACCATTTTCACTAATATTTCGATTTCAGATACGCCGATCTTTTTGACTGTGTTGTGAGTGCATGGTGCGCGTGATGCGACGATGACAATGGCAAGTTGCTGATGCGAATGTCGTATTTTATACGTGCACTACGGATGTTTATGTTTTTCTGTACAATAACAGTTATGGTTAGACCAAAAATGTTGTGCCCTCTTACAAATATTTTCAGCAAATAAATTTGTTTTAAGAAAATAACTCACAACACAAAACTTACGTCAGAGAGGACGTGATGGCATACAAAGACTAATTTTTAATTGTTACCATTCCCGTTGTCGTCGATTTATTCTGACAATTTGGGGAACCACCGGCACAGGTTGATATTTAACTCGACATTGGGTCCTATGATTGAACGTTTATGTTATCCATAACGTACATGTTAGGTCGAATTTTAACAGTAACGAAGCAAGTTTGTACGATGGAAAACTGTTAAATTAGAACATAACAGGCGGAAAATAACAGTAATGTGTTGGAAACCGTTTTTCATCATACGAACTTGCCTAATTACTGTTAAAACTGAGCCTAACATGTACGTTACGGATAACGTAAACGTTCAATCATAGGACCCATTATAAGACACCTTAACAGATTTGAACGCGATCACCGATCGACTAGTAAATAATGAAATACCGGTAAACACTTAAGCAGAGTAGTCGAACTACATGTTGCGATGATTTAATAAACTGCTATTAAAAAGCAGCTATTTGAAAGCTGCTTTTTAGAAAAAGCAGTTACTGTTATAACTGTTATTTAAAAATAGCAGTTTTGCCCATCCCTATTGTGAAACAACAAACACTCGCGGAGCCGATTGTTCGTACGTATTTGTACGAACTTCCACGTCTCCACTAAGTGCAACTGCAACGTTCAAAAACGCTTTGCGCGGCTTGGCGTGAAGCGGCGCGGCCGGTCTGGGTCCATCTTCATGTTTTTCCGTTTTCCCAGTTACAGTAAGGTGCATAGATAAATTGATATTAAAAGATAAACCGTTTTTTAAATGCACGGCACTGGTAACAACTGGTTAGTTTCGGTTATACTATTTGGCGCCACCATCGCACGCTACACAATTGGCTGATTAACTTGACAGTTAGAAGCAGTATTTAAAAAAAAATTAAAAAGACCGCGGCTCATTCGAATGTTTTTTATTATTTATTTAGATTTTTTGGCATTTATTACTTTAAAAAAAAAACTAATATTTACATTAAAATGCTGTATTTAACATAAATATTAGTTTTTTAAGTAATTAACCTCCAAAAAATATAAATTAAAAATATTTATATTAAAATATTTGAAACAGGTATAGTTTAATCATTTAATAAAAGTAAGGTGCATTCAAACGTTTATTACATACATAACATGTACAAATATTAATAACCGTAAGGGAAATAATTAGTATTCTCCTCTCATTCTTGTCGAAAACTAGACCAAATTTCGATTCAGGTGTCAGGCGTTTCTTATAAAAACAAAACAGTGCACATATACTACTTACATCTTATTAAACAATTTCTCTTTTCAAAATGTTTACCATTCTTATAAAAGTAAAATTTATTTTTAATTTGTCTAAAATTAGTTTATAGAAAAAAAATTCACATAGTGCAATCGTTGATTTAAATTATATTTTAACTTATCTGTTCTAGTTCTAGTTGATCTAATAAATTTAAGTTTGAATATTACTTTTCATTTTTAACAGGGTTGTTCAAATTGTTTATCAGTAATACTAAGTTTACGTTTGCAAATAATTTCTTGTTTGTGTATGTGCTTCAGTCTCAACATTTTCTGAAATCTGACTCTCGGGTTGAGTATAGTTGGGTATACTGGATGTACTTTTATCTAATAAAATTGGTACAGAATTTGCAATTAGTCGTTAACGTTTTGAAGCAATTTTACTAAAAGAATCTGCCAAAAAAATGATCTTCACAAAGATAAATTTAAATTCTTAAACCAGTTCTCGCGTTTTTTAATATCGGAAGGAAAATGAAAAAAAAAATTTGAATAACCAGCCTGCTGAATATTAGAATAATATTTATTTAAACAATTAAGAATACTTAATTTTACTCGGGCCAGACATGTTTTGTTACAAATAGGAATATTAAAAAATAATTGAAAATCGATCCAAAATGAAATACGTAAGGCTCTAAGAAAACAATGATAAACAAAGTTCTTAAACAAATCTAACGCCTTATTAAATTAAATTGTTAATACTTAATAATTACATTAAATCGGCACTTATCAATCTTCTTAACCTAAAAATAACTTAACTATGTATGGAACTACATCTACTACATCATAAAAACTTTTATTTTTGATGGTTTTTGTGGGTTTTTTGACCATTTCGCCTTCCGCCATTCCATTTTTGTTTTTTACGAGGTTATCAACACGGTTGTCAAACCTCTCTTTAAACTATCCCATCAATGGTATAGCCATTGTGTGGATGGTATCGAGCACGACAAAAACAAAATAAGGTGCAGCTTGTAAGTTTGAAATTACTTTAATCTCATGAAAGTTTATATAGAACAGAAGTAAAAGTTGGAAATGCTTTTGCCAGTTCTCCCACTTTATACACATAAATTGACAGGTTGGCAGCGGATCTCACCGAAGTGGACGCGATACATTGGCGTACAAAATTATTTTATAGATGTTAATAACAAGTTCGAGTAAATAGTTTAATCAATTGTGAATAGCTGTTGAAATTTTGTAAAATTATAATTTGAATATTATAATACATGTTTAATAATTATTTATAATCCATAAATACATGCGATTGTCCGGTTCCGCCGATAACAATTTAAAATTACTTATTCTATGAAACGACACTGGCAGGTAAACATTACTGTGAAATTCTCGGAGCCGCCCGACGTGGTTTGACGTTTACCCCCTCTCTACCTACCAAAAGACTTTTCAACTTTTACTTTCTCTATAAACTGGCAACATCGCTTTCATCTTATTTGCGATGGTGACTCCAAATAATATGGCCGGAACTAACCACTTGTTACAAGTGCCGTACATTTAAACGGTTTTTCTTTAAATTTTTTTTATTTAAAAACATTTATTCACCTTTTAAAAACATTTGCTATACACATCAGCATAAAAATAGAATACAAAGTGTAATGTATTGCTCATAACAGGGGTCTGCATGAGCCAAGACGAGTATCTTCGCCACCGTACATAAACAAAGGAATAGTAAATCCACTCTCTGTACAGACTAGTCCGATGCCGCAAGTCGAAAGAGCATGCAATCAGCCTGCGCACGCTGCTTGATACACAGTGTGTAAGCTTTGATAAGTTTCCGAATATTGTAAAATTGTATAGGGTGGAGTTTAGTTGGCTATTTGTTTTTTACTAGTAAAAAATGTCATCAGGGTCAGCTGGTATTTTATCGTTGTCATGTACATTATTTCCTTATAACGTTATCTTGTTCTCATAAGCTAAAAGATAGCGTAGATGTCGCTGGTAACGTTCCAGCAATGTTGCCGTTATGAACATTTTCCAAATTTGTTTCTTTTACATTTAAATAATAATGATCTTATTTATCCATAAGTAATACTTATATTGGACTTTTAATTTCTTTGTATATAATATATATAACAAAATATGTGTTTTAAGAAATATATAGCAGGATTGTGTACAAAGAACAAAAATAAAAAGTCAATAGCACTAGAAGAAAATAAGTTTGGCATCACAGCACGAGCATTTCACTTTGAAGTCTGCAAGATTGACGTATTTCTAACCTATCATTTTATCTCCTTGTCCAATTTTTTGTTTCTATGTTTGGTGACTTTGGTGTCGTTTTACTTATATATATTTTACAATTTAACTTGTAAATTCATTTTTTTTGTTGTTTTTCATTCATTATTAGTTACGTATTTAAATTTGTTAGTTTAGTGTTTTCCCCGGTAAATGACATTTTTATCGTGGTGTTTTCATATTAGGTAGTTTTAAGTTTGTTTACAAACCCGAAGGAACTAACAATGCCCGGATCACGCCGGGATTTTGTTTAATTTCCGTAAAGTAAGTATTTCAATTTTATTGTAGAACCTTTGTGGTGTGAATGTTTATTATTGTTTAATACAGAATATATCTTATTATTGAAATCATACTTCGTTTTATTTTCCTTTTTAATGCTTTTTATTTTGTGTGCCTAAAAAAAATGATTTTTTTTTCTGATTTGATGTGCTAGTAAATGTGAATTACATATTTATTCACATTTCCAGTGCATCAAATCAGAAAAAAATTATAAAAATAATAGATAAAGTGGATCTACATATTTGAATTTCCCGCGGTTCTTCTTTTTTTAAAAAAAATTATAATTTGACCGGTTGCTTATAAAGAAAAAGGCCACTATTAAAACACCAGCGACATCGGCCTTATCTTCCAGTCCAATCGCCCAGTCAATTCTTGGTGAAAAGCAAAATTGCATTGAGTTAACCGTCTCATTAGTTGTCTCTGTTAGTATGGATCGTATTGTGAGTGGTCAAGTTACTGTCTTCTGTATATGCTAAGATTTTTATGTAGGCATCCGTATCTTCTGCGCAAGTTATCCCCCTGATAAATATTCATGATGCTATTCCGTAATTCATCAGGGAGGCATCGTGCGTAGAAGTTTTCTGCTGTTTCTATATCAAGTCTTTGATGTAAGGCATTTGTCGTATTATGTATGTCACGTATTCTAGCGTAGCGGTCGTATCCGAGAGCAAGCCTCAGACATCTGTTCTGCGCCCTTTGCAATCTATTGAAGTAAGTAGTGGACATTGGACAAAAAACTGGGCACCCATACGTTAGGATTGGCCTGAGTATTGTTTTGTATAAAATAAGTTTGTTAGGAAGTGATACTCTACTTCTTCTATTGATTATGGGTAACAGAGCTTTTAAAACCCCTGTGCTTTTATTCATCCTGTCTTTTATATGCACCATGAATGTACTGCCACTATCTAGCTGAAAACCAAGATATTTTACTTGCGTTTTCACAGGTTTTTCTTGTCCTTGTATGATTAGGGGTGTGACAATACCCTCTATCCTACTTTTGATGAAAAGTAAGGCTTCGGTCTTATTTTAATTAATACCTAATCATCTTGTTTTCAGCTAGATAGCTCATGAAAGTTTATGTAAACTGGCAACATCGCTTTCATCTTATTTGCGATGGTGGCTCCAAATAGTATGACCGGAATTAACCACTTATTTCCGGTACCCTATATTTAAACTGTTTATCTTTTAATATTAATTTATCTATAATAGTAAGGTGAGTTTATGTGCGGTTTGTGGTTGTTTATGCAAACTAGTTTTTGTGTTTCTTTCTCTTTGATTTTTTGCATTTCTCTTGCTATCATCCTCGATAATTTTCTGGATAATTCTCTTCACAGTGTATTTACACAAAGTGCATTTCTTGGTTTACAAATTGTGATGAACGAATATTAATGAACTGAAAAATAAAAATAATTTTCTTTTACAGTTGGAACTGGAGGTATTAACGGAGTTAAAACTATGACAAACATTTTAGATGATGCCTTAAGTGCAGGTTACAGACTGATAGGCGAGTAAATAGTACTTTATCCATATTTATAAATTATTAGCATAATCTACGTTAGTCTAAAATATAATTTAAATAATTATTTTTTAAGATGCGGCAGCCTTTTATGAAAATGAAGAAGACATCGGAATTGCTTTAAAAGAACTTTTGCCCAAACACCATCTAACAAGGAATGACATTTTTATTACATCAAAATTAGGTAATTGAAAAAGGGTTGTACCATAAATATACCGAAAAAATTTTAAGGGTGATAGTAGGAGACATCGAACAATTTTTACATAAATATAGATTACCGCTAGTTGTGGGAAATAATCGATTAATAAACCGCTGGATAATTTTTTTATACTAGTACACATTGTACTCAAATAGGACTCAAATAGTACCAAATAGTACGCAAATAGTACTCAAATAGTACTCAAATAGTACTCAAATAGTACTCAAATAATACGCCAAGAGTACGCAAATAGTACGCAAAGAGTATACAAATAGTACGTAGTTAGTTCGCAAATAGTAGGTAAATATTATTCAAATAGTATGTAAATAGTATGTAAATAGTATGTAAATAGTATGTAAATAGTATGTAAATAGTATGTAAATAGTATGTAAATAATATGTAAATAGTATGTAAATAGTATGTAAATAGTATGTAAATAGTATGTAAATAGTATGTAAATAGTATGTAAATAGTATGTAAATAGTATGTAAATAGTATGTAAATAGTATGCAAATAGTATGCAAATAGTATGCAAATAGTATGCAAATAGTATGCAAATAGTATGCAAATAGTATGCAAATAGTATGCAAATAGTATACAAATAGTATGTAAATAGTATGCAAATAGTATTCAAATAGTATGCAAATAGTATGCAAATAGTATGCAAATAGTATGCAAATAGTATGTCAATAGTATGAAAATAGTATACCAATTGTATGCAAATAGTATGAAAATAGTATGAAAGTAGTATGCAAATAGTATGCAAATAGTATGAAAATAGTATGCAAATAGTATGCAAATAGTGTGCAAACCGTATGCAAACAGAATGGAAATAGTGTGCAAATAGTATGTGAATAGTATGCAAACAGTATGCAAATGGTATGTAAATAGTATACAAATAGTATGCAAATATTATTCAAATTGTATGTAAACAGTATGTAAATAGTATGCAATCAGTATGCAAATAGTATGCAATCAGTATGCAAATAGTGTGCAAATAATGTACACAAAATATGCAAATAGTATGCGAATATTATGCAAATAGTATGCAAATAGTATGCAAATAGTATGTAAATAGTATTTAAATATTATGAAAATAGTATGAAAATAATATGAAAATAATATGAAAATAGTATGAAAATAGTATGAAAATAGTATGAAAATAGTATGAAAATAGTATGAAAATAGTATGAAAATAGTATGAAAATAGTATGAAAATAGTATGAAAATAGTATGAAAATAGTATGACAATAGTATGCAAATAGTACGCAAATAGTATGCAAGAAACATGCGAATAGTATGCAAATAGTAAGCAAATATTATTCAAATTATATTCAAATATATGCAAAGAGTATTCAAATAGTATGCAAATAGTATTCGAATAATACTGAAATAGTATCTAAATTGTAGATAAATACATTAAAATTAGGTTGATGAGCTTAAAAAAAGGTTTAGCTATTAGAACCTAAAAAAATAAAACCAAAGGTCGTTGCCCATTTTTTCTACAGGTCATCAACGCCTGGCTAAGTGGAAATACTACCTATTAGGTACATACCAGGTAGTACAAAATAGTACATAAATAGTACAGAAATAGTACGAAAATTGTACGCAAATATTAGGTAAATTTGAGACAAATTACACAAATAGAACACAAGTAGCACACAAATAGTACACAAAATGGTACATACTAGTACAAAAATAGTATACAAATAGTAAACAAATCTCAAACATGATATATAAATAGACGTCGTACAGAAATAGTACACAAAAATTGTACAGAAAATATACAAATAGTGCACATAGTAAAGATTTCTGTTACATCATAATACAACGGCGGTTTACCCTCGGAAATAATAATGAACTCAACATAATAATGGAACGGAATTTTAAAAACTACCAAAATATTTATCTCAATCTAATTTGTACAGCTTACTAGTTCATTTAAAAAATGATACTTCTGGCTTGAGTTTTTATACATTGTAACTTGTAACCCATGTTAATTTAACTTGTTCTGTCATTTTTAAAAATAATACAGTCAAAACAAAGTGGATGGATTCAGAAATAATTCACATGGTTAATGATTGTTTTGGTTAACTAAATACTCTACGAACCCTGATAATTATTTTAAATATAACAAAATTAATTTTTTGTGAGGTTTCGCCTCTTGTTTAATCTGAGGTAATATTAGGATCCATTTTATATTTGTAGCCCCAAAAAAGGACTTATTCGGTGAACATGCTTACGAAGCTTTAAAACAAGCAATTCAGCGTTTTGGAACTGATTACATTGACTTATATCTTATACATTTTCCTGGATACTTCCCACTTCCTGAGCCAAATATGAACTTCTCGGCATTGAGAGACGAGACCTGGAAACAGCTGGTTAAAGGACAGAAAGAAGGATTGGTCAGAAACATTGGAGTGTCGAATTATAACATCAGACAATTAAAAGAATTATTAAGAAATGATCATGGCGTTAAACCAGCAATCAACCAGGTCAGTAAAATCTAAATTTCTGTTAAAAATTCTATTGAAGGTGAGCTAAATCAATCGTCGTATTTTTTAGGTGGAATGGCATCCTGACTATCATCAAGATGAACTACTAAAATTTTGTAAAAAACAAGGAGTAGCACTGCAAGCTTACTTTTCTTTGGGAGGCGTCAACAATAAAACGGTTTTACTGGAAAAACCTGAGGTTAAACAAATCGCAATCAAATTAAGAAAAAGCCCCAGCCAAGTAATTATAAATTATGTTTCAAAATGAAATGTACATAATCGTAAATGTGGGACACTATGATAATTATCACACATTATTAATGAATCTATCGTACCAAATTACTTAGATATAGATTTTTATTTGGCCAAAACTCAACAACCACTCGATAAAGTAAACATAATGGTATTGAAATAGTAATTAAAATCGAAGTCTGGCTTAATAAAATTTTTGCCATATCTGTATAGGGATCAAATAATCTTTATTTTTCCCTTGTATATTATTTGTTTATTTTATTTTAGATACGGTTGCTATAAATACACTCATAATGCCCTAGGGCGTTATGAACGGGCGTTATGGAACATAACTTCCGCTCAATGTACGAGGAGAAATGAAGCAAAAGCTAGAACGAAATTCTTTATTTTGGAAAATTTTCATACTAGTACAAGCGACAACTCAACAAACAACAAACTAAGTCTTACCTAATTAAAATTAAAAGTGCAATTTTCCAATTTTCCGGAAATCTTCGGATTTTTCGAAACTTTAGAAGAGAAAACTTGACCACTAGTACTTGGAAATCTTTTCATAAGAGAAACGCTAGGAAATTCATGAGAATCTGTAACCGAATTTACTATCATTGTTGACACTTTATTTTTAGAGAGCTACAGATGCACTCTTCCATTTTCCGTGCATTTTTAAAGTTTCATACTATGTACCGGCCTCAGTTAAAAGAGTTGCCGAAATCCTTCTTAAACAATGTCCAGTATATTCATTGCAATCATCGAAGGCATACTTCCTATGGTATTTTTGCCAATAGGTTGGACAGTGCACCGATAGTTTCGGTAAGTAAGGTAAAATCTGAAATCCTTTACTCCCTGGATATATATTTTTTGATCAGCCTCAAAGCCCCTATTTTTTCTCCCTCCACAATACTGAATCCTTTTGACATACCGGTTGTAGTTTCGGGTATTTTAACAAGTAAACAGCTACCCTTTTCTTCAATATCGTTTATAGTAATTTTCACAAGTAGTTCATCTCTCCTTAGTCCTCCAAAAATACTCATTATTAGAACTACTTTATGTAATAGATGAATTTCATCTGACGCTTCACTGATAAATGTGAGAAATTGATCTGCTGTCAAAACCTTGGATTTCATCTTTAAAAACGCTATTAGCCAGGAAAAATGAGAAATATTGGTATTTTAATTGAGTAGGTATCAGTGTAGATTTTAAAATAGGATATTTCGTCCACAATGACCTAAAACACATAAACTAAATAAAAAATAAATTAACACACCAATTATTGAAAGTGCGCCAATAACACGGTCTTATCTATGGCAATAATTTTCTCTTTCAACTTACATGGATTAAATACTTCATAATCCTTGTCGTATAAATTATTCGCAGCTTTGGCTGCATATTCCAGGATATTCTTGGGTAAATTCGTATTCATTTCCATTATTTCTATAAGATTACACAAAGAAAGCAGCACTAACATTCACTAAATATAATGATGACAGCAAACGTCAAAATATCAACAAATGCCATGCCTACTATGAAAAGAAAAATTCAAAGAAAATGCTAGGAGCAACGAACCGATTTTAAATTCGATTTTTCGTTATAATAAAATAATTTTTTCGTGAAAAATAACTATTTTCTAATGATTCTTTGAGTAGGTATTATTTTTTCATTATTAATATTTTCGAAAAGGCATACTGAATACTTAGGTACTTATTTACATGATTTTAATCTCTACTTAAAGGTTTATATTATAATATAAGATAATCTGTTTTTAATGATTTATTGACCAATGATTTTTATATAATTACTTATATGTTCATTAGTTCTTGTTACAGAGCAAGGTGGCTTTGCGGTAACGCATCTGCCGCCTGACCTGCTATGAGTTTTTTAAAAGTTTTCTCATAGCAATAGGTAACTGCTGAGTCAGTAACATCCTCTTAGTTACCTACCATCATTCCTTCTATCCCATCCCCTCAGGTATCTCCTTTTTTAACTTGGTTCTTGCATCAGTTGTTTATCGATTTTAAGATTAAGTCATAACCGAGATGATGGATGCAATATTGTGTTCTAGTCAAAAAAGTAAACCTTTGATTACAAATTATGGTTTTAACTTCGGTTTTCAAAAAATGTTGACCAATACTTCAGTAAAACGTTGGTAGGTACCAAAAAAAATTCCAAAGTATTTGTGAAAACGTAGGAGTATCAAAATAGTTATACCGAATCAATAATCAATAATATGAATGCCAATTTTGGCAAACATCTATAGAGGTGCAAACATGTGGCAACGTCTCACCTTCATATGAAGATTTAAAGCAGGTAATTTATTTAGATATTGGGATGAATTTCATGTCATATCACCTCTTTAGCGAGAGGTAAGAAAGATCCTTCTTTAGGAGGCATTTCATATGTTGCTGCGTGGGTAGATAAACCCGAGGGGTCAACGACTCTCAAAATAATGGTAAGTTTTCACTCGAAATCACCGAAATCACTACAAATTTCTCGAAATTTCCGAAATCAACATCGAAAATCATGGTCGAAATCATCACCCAAATCAATTCGTCGCTCAAAAATGTAAATGCAGCAGCTTGTAGATCAAAAAACAAGGGAAGAGCCGAAAATAGACATAGTATACTATTAAAGGGGATTTTTCAGCGAAATCACCGAAATCACATAACAAAATTAGGTGATTTCCGAAATACGGGTACGTTTTTAGGTTTCACCCTCGGGTAATCCAATAAGTTTTTAATTCATTTTCAAAATCCCTATATTATAATAAAAAATAAGGAAGTAAGGAAGCAAAAAAGATGATTTAGAATTAATAAAAATTAGTCTATTAGAAAGAAAATGCGACCCATGTTAGCGGCTCTGAGTAGTTTTTCCGCCATTTTGAATTATCTCATCAGATATGCAAAATTTGAGGCAGAAATAAATGTCTATATTTTACTATGCCTAGTTTGGACTTTAATTATGCTCTATGGCATTATTTTTACTTTATCGAGGAAAATATTTCTGTAAAATTTGAAATTTTTGTAATAGGTGTTTGTTGAGTTTAGGTCAAATACAAATTCACACGAAATCAATTAAACACCCAGTTAACATGTTTCACTCTGTAATACCCTATATAATTGTCTAATTGAATTACAGTATATTGCTGTCTAAATATTTTAAAATAATAAATATCGAATGGCACCAACGCAGTTGGTCTGTAAGGTCAATGTTTATTATTATTTTTTTTTATTTATTTTAAATGTTCTTTTAAGGTTCTTTTGAAATGGGCTTTGCAACAAAACGTCTTAGTAGTTCCGGGATCTCGAACCAGGAAGCATATGGACCAAAATTTGGATCTGAATTTCAAAATACCGGAGGCAGATATGAAGATTTTGAATAATTTGAAGCAGGCGGGCAGAATTAGTATGTTTCCAGACATAATTATATAATTTGATGTTTTAAATAGTTAACTATAGATTTTTATTAGTTTCACAAATACATGAGATTTTAAAATGTTTGTTCGCGTTTATATATAAATAAAACAATTAAATAAATATCAAAGTAATATGACTACTTTGATGGTACTCCTAAATGGACTAGAAGAGTCTATAAGTTACCAAAGCCGCTCGACTTATGGTATGAAGGGATAATTTTATCTTTTTCCAATCTTATTTTTTATTATTTTTATTTGCCATTGGTAAATGCATGCTCCTTCTAGACTCCAGGACCCTTTGGCTGGTGACAGTGCTGCCTTTATCCCTTAATAGTACTTTTGTTGAAATACTTCAAAATATTTGTGCCATTTGTTTTACTAATTTTAGTTCATAAATACATTTTACTTTAAACTGCCCCTGGCATTTCTAGATATAATCGAACGTAATTACGTCACTTTTCTGCGAGCTAATGGTCTAATCCACAAAACGCCGATAGATGCGCTCACGTGAGCTCAAGAACCTAGATTTATCATTGGAGGCAACTTTAATGCAAAACACATCCATTGGGGCTGCAGACTAACAACTAAGGGTAAAAACCTAAAAGAAGCAATGACACAGTTAAAATATGAGTCGCATTCAACTGGCAAACCCACAGATAGAAACAAAATAGCCAACCTAATTGACTTTCTTGTTGTACGAAATATTTCAGCAAACTACATCCAAGTTGATGAGGCATGGGGCATGAATTCAGATCATTCGCCCATTCTTCTCACCCTTAGTGATACTATTATCCAAAAGAAAAGCGCTCCTAGACTAATAAATAGGAGAACAGACTGGTAGCTGGGCTAGGAATAATACATAAAAAGTTAATAGATTCGCAGAGCACTTACAAAATACCTTCCAACCAATTAAAGAAGAAGAATTACTAAATTGGGCTCCTCTAGAGAGAGATGACTCAATATTCAGACCAACCTCTCCAAAGGAAATTATAGAAGAAATAAAAACAAATAATCCTAATTATTAATTTAGTTATAGGAGAAATCTTAAAACAACTTCTGAAGAAAGCCATAATTAAATTTACACACATACCTCATTCAAACTAAGGTATGTCTTTAGATTGTGGAAAGTAGCTGAAGTCATTGTGATCCCCAAACCAGGAAAACCTCCGAACGAAGTTTCGTCATATAGGCCAATATCTCTATTGCCTATAGTATCGAAACTATTTGAAAAAATACTAATAAAAAGACTGAAACCCATCATTGAAGATTATTAGTTCGGCTTTAGAGAAAACCATTTAACTATATATCAAGTTCATAGAATCTCAAATGCGATTGAAAAATTATTAGAAAACAAAGAAGTCTGTTCAGCCATCTTCCTTGATGTTGCGCAGGCTTTCGATAAAGTATGGCATGATGGCTTAAAACATAAACTGAATGTGCTACTTCCACAGCCATACTCAGAGCTACTGGATTTATACATTTCAGATAGATTCTTTAGAGTAAAACAAGATGAAACATACTCTGAATTGAAAGAAATTAAAGCAGGAGTACCACAGGGAAGCGTCCTGGGACCCACTTTTTATATGTTATACACTTGTGACATATTCCAACTAGAACAAGACACAATAGCTACATTTACAGATGATACTGTCATCCTAGCGATAGGCAAATATCATGAAGAGGCTGCAAATAAACTACAAACATCAGTTAATCAAATAAATAATTGGACCAAAAGACCAAAATCTGTAAATAATAATTTTACTAACAAAAATGGTCAAAGATTACCAATTAACATAAATAATTCTCAGGTCCCTTATAACTCATCAACATATCTAGGCATTACATTAGATGCAAGACCTCGCTGAAAGGTCCATGTTAAAAATAGTAGACAAGAGTTAGATATAAAATTCAAGAAAATGTACTGGTTACTTGGTAGGCATTCCAGCCTATCTACATATAACAAAATGTTATTATATAAACAAGTTCTTAAACCAATTTGGACCTACGCCATTCAGCTCTAGGGTTGTGCCAGCTACAGTAATATTCTAATAATCCAGACATTCCAGAACAAATTATTGAGGAACATTGTCGGTGCTCTTTGTGTTACGTGTGTAAATTCATTTTAACTTTTCAAATAAAAAGGCACTATTTTATTATTAATTTTAATATTCAAAAGGATACAATATACTATATTTTATTTTATTGTGTACTGGGGTCCAGCCATTCTTCATCTGCGACAGCTTCTGAAATAAATAACAAATTATATTTTAATATAATATTAGATTTTAAATATAAGTATTTAGTATTTATTAAATTGTAAACAATGCTAAGATGATATCTTCTGTCATTTCTTCTTTTTTGATATTATTACTATTCCAGTAGCCAAAATATCTGGTTAGAAGCCTTTCAGGTAAAGGGTTGACAGTTGGTTATGTCAAATATAATTCTTCTTTTTTCTATTCCCGTTTTACCGTGTCTTGGAAAATAAACTTGCATTCTGCGCGTGGGCGCATATTCGTTTTGCGGATTTTAAACAAGTTTCCTAGGGAAATAAAAGATTAGCAATTTGTTAGGTTTTCAAGGAAAACGCCAATCACTTTGTGGATTCGTTGCTAATCAGGGAATTAAAAGAATTTATTAAAATACACATCTTATAATCCTTCTATACTTCATCCTTCAATCTACTCTACTATGCATCACTTCTCTAGTATTAGTTGGTACCTGTCTTGTTACCTGCCTGCCTTAGGGACAAATTGATGGCTTAATTGCATGGTTGCATGGTCAATTGTTTTACATGCAGTGGTACCCAAGCTCCAATAGAACCTTTCTACAGTGGCTGTAACCGGATGAAGAATCGGTTAGACAAAAGAAATAATTAAGTAAGACTGTTCCTATATTTTTGCATGATTCAACGAGAAGTAAACGTAACAGAGATTATACGATACAAGATACAACATCTAATAATTACTTAAATTAATAATATATATTTATACTTACCAGCAGTGTACACCAATCTGTATCGATACGCCTTGGTTTATTTAACAGCTTTTGTTTTATTTGCATAACTGTACTTTTGCTTTGTATCAGTACGCCACTGCTTATTTGATATGATTGCTATCGTTGTATTTTATCCTTTCCTCTATCAGTTCTTATTACACACGTAAACCTAAACACCTAAAGGAAATATACCGATCTGAAATAGTAAACTGTTTATTTTTATTTGAGCTAGCCTGTTAATTACGAATCCAATGCTATTTATTTTCGTCAATGGTACATTAGAAAAAGCGACCTTCATCGAGACCTTCAGATGGACATTGTTGACCAGACTATCACCAAACTCGCTAGGAGTCACGAACAACGGCTTCACCAACATGTGAACGTTGGCAATCCAGCTTCTTGACAACACGAACCTGACAAGAAGACTCAAGAGAGTGAAACCTTTTAAGTTAGCCAAGTGTTAATAACAAAGCAAAGCATTGTGCGGTTTAGTGTTACACGTTAGTTTAGTGTAATTAAGTTATCAGACCCTAAGGTATACTAGCGAGTAGAACTTTAAGTTTTTAAGATTGCAACCCTAGTTAAGTTAGGTTATAACAAAATTACTCATTGATCAACTCTTGATCAGATAATAATATTATTGAGTGTTTTTTCACAAAAACAAAAGAACGTGAGCTCCTACTCGCAGATTATTGGTTGAAGCAACCAACACGATCGGTCACCTTGCTTTTTCTTGGCACACAATGGCAGAATCAATCTTCTTACCGACAAAAACACATAAAATTAAACGGCTTGCATCGCCATGTTGAAATTTGCTTATTCTTGGATAATATTGTACTAAATTACTATGTAATCAATTTTCTTTCTCTAAAATAGTAATAGTAAAAGTGTAGTACAAAATTAGTGATGTGCATACTGTATTTTAATGTGATTAAGAGAATAAAAGTTATAGTAAAGCCAGTTAGATCACCCAACGTTATATCGAAAAACCAGTGTCTGCTTAGTCGAAAACAATTTATATTATGTATAACTGATTCCCTTACAACTTTCCCGCACTACATACTTTTATGTCGTCAGACTCTGTCACCCTTTAGGTAACCTTCATTTGATTTTGTCAGAATAAATGAACGGTAAAGATTAAACTCACTTCACGTTGTAATTACCTGGCAACTGCGATTACCAGGATTTTAAAATTGTTTATAATCAACATCAATAATTATACACTAGCTATAGAATTTACTTATTTTATTGGTGGAACCTTAAGGTTTTAAAGATTCTATATATGTTTTGCCATTTTACTATCTATTGGCTATACTTGAATACATTATTTGAACAACTGACGTTTTGTTTGATACTCTAGAATACCTTGATATACGGTCCTGAAATCTTTTGACACAAGATGATGATTCCTAGAGTTTTGAAAATTGCAAGAACTGTATCATTTGTAGTCACTTACTGAACTGTGATATACCAATAAAAATTCCCAGGCCGGATATTTTGGTATATGTTCTCTATGTAAGCATTGCTTTTTCTCAAAGAAGTTGAAGTTAACAATAATTTTTTGATTTTTGTATTTAGTCTTCAATAACCCATACCACAGAAAAAACTGAAATAGAAGTGTTCGGGCCAAATTTGCTTAAAGTCAAATCTTGAAGATATTTTCATATTAAAATGATTATTTTCTCTAGAATCATTTCTACTCCTATTTTTTAAATAATTTTTACTTTTTTCGTCACCTCCAATCTCCATATTTCCTTTCTCGTTCCTTTTCTGCTACGTCGATATGTATTGCTATTTACTGTAATCTTCTTTTTCATATTATTTAACCATTTTGATGGCTTAATAGCCGAAACCAGTAGTTGTCGTTTCAATTTTTCATTAAATATAAGTTATATATAATTTTATGTTGTTTATTTTGTTAATAGTCATATTGCTGAATTATCAGTAGTAATATAGAGACAGCAACAATTCGAAATATTTTTTTTCACTTACCGAAAGCATGTTCTTGGTATCTTAAAAAACGTGCTTGAGGTATTTGAAAAAAAATTATGAGTATTTATCACTGGCCAAGGGGTATTCGGTCTGAAAATTTTTGCCATATTTTAACTCATTTATTTCATAAAAAGTATATTTACACTCCATAAAATCTTGACTGTACATTCCAAAAAGTGTTGACTGTACATTCTTTAAGTCAGTATCGTTTTAATTTCTCATATTTACTGTCCAATCCTTCAGTATCAAAGTTATGTCTTAAATAATTCCATTTGCATTTAACACATATTTTTAAATTTCTTAAAATTGTATAGTTTCTACTTTCTACATATATATTTTTTACTTTACCGGTATTTATTGGTGTGTTTTCTTCGATTAAATTAATCTTTGGATATGCTGATACACGTGACTAAAAATGAACGATTTTAATTGGTTTTCTATTGATGCCAGAGATTTTCCATTAAATTACCTTTTCGATGATGGTACTTTTCCTATTTAAATTGTATTTGTTAAAGTGATGAAGGGAAGAGGAATGATGTATGACAGTTGAGATGTGATATATAAATAAAAAGTTCACTAGTTTATTTGGTCGTTTTTATTGTTTTTATAAAATTTAAGTACAAGCACTACATATGTTTCGGAAACACACTTCTATCTTCTGGTACCAGTCAATATTTAATAAAATATGGAGACCATTACAAACATTTTAATATAACAGAAACTCCGTCTTTTTGTTTTACATCGGAGAGGAAAAACTTTTTTATTTTCACCTTTTTGAAAAATATTAGTCTTCAATTGTTTTTATTTTAAAAATTACACTGCACAACAGCATTTCTGATGATTGAGTTATATTACATGACTAGCTTAATTTTTAATGAATTAGCTCTAGTTTAGAAAATATGACACATGGCCGTTTTATAGTAAAACACAATTTGTTTAAAGTTAATCATGTTTTATTTAGTTCTCAAGGTAAAAAAACTTTCTTAGACTTCCTTGCAGAGGTTGAATCCATAGAACTGTTTTGAATGCTCCAACAATAGTCAGCCATCAAGTGTACGTTCCAGTAGCCTTGATACCTTTCCTCCATCGTACGAAGGTCCTGGTGGAATCGCTCGCCCTGTTCTTTACTTAGATCCCCAAGATTAGCGGGAAAAAATCTAGGTGGTTGTGGAGAAAGTGCAACTTGATCCAAGGGTTTGAACGTGACTCATTAGTTGTTCAACGTGTTGAGAATAGTTAGAACTTTTCTTATGTCCCAAAAAACAAGCCAAACAAACTCATTCGATGCATTTTTCTCAATTTCTGTCATAGTGTCCGTAAATTTTGTGTCTTTTATTAATGCTCTTATCTGTGGCCCATCGAAAATACCCGCTTTTATCTTGTCTACACTCAGTTTTGGGAATTTTTTTGATAGAAATAGAAAACAATTTCTAGTTTTGTTAAGACCTTTGACAAACTGTTTTATTCGCCCTAATTTTATATGCAACGGAGGCAAAATTATACGATCTCTTGACACTAAAGGTGGGTTTATCACGTTTTGTTGTCCTAGAGCTAGATCTTTCCGAGTAGGCCAATTCTTTTTAACCCAATGTTAATTTTTAGCTCTACTATCCCACAAGCAAAGAAAACAAGTATACTTTGTGTAACCACCTTGCTGGCCTAATAGAAAGTTGGCCATTTTTTATTCAACGCATATGATCCAGTTATTTTCCTCATATTTAATTTTGTCCAAAACCAGAGCAATAGTTGTATATTCTTCTTTTACTTTTGTAGAATGTGCAATAGGCAACGACCCTAATTTATTCCTATTGTGTAACACATTTTAGACTCCGTTTTGACGAGTCTATGAATAAACGCCTTTCACTAGAAACATAATTTTGTAATCCCATTGCAGACATCAATCCAGGTACATCTTTACAAAATACGAAATTGTCTTCTTCAACAAAATATTTGAGGAAATTTTGTTCTCGTGTGCGGTAATAAAAAACTTTAGTTTCTTTCGTTACCAATTTTCTTTCTTTTAGCTTTGAAGCCAAAATGTTTAAAGCTGACTTTGATAGTCCCAGATCTCTAATTAAGTCGTTTAAATCATCTTGTTTGAATGGTTTTGGCGTTCCCAGGTCACATTCAAAGTCACTATCACTACTGTCGTTTTTCGTCTCAAAATCTTCTGGCTCTTCCTGTAAAGTACCAGATTGAGGTTTAGGTGTAGACTTAGGGATCAGGACATGTTTATGTGCAAATTGTATGGAAGGATATTCCCATTCGGTTAATACCAGTTATGTTCACCAAACAAAAATAACAATCGTCATGGTGGTTCATGGGTTCATTCCAAATCATAGCGGTTTTGTACCTGAAGCTATGTCTTTTCTTATTTGTCCATAAACGTAGGAACTCAACGCATGTTTTATATACTATTTGCGGAATCCAAGGCTTATTCTTCATTTCCAGGGGGTGGCCAAAATAATTTTTGTAAGGCTCATTTACGAACGTTGTCACATTTAAACGGTATTCTTTAAATACATACTCTCCGCAAATGAAACAAAAATTGTTTGAATCATTCACACATACTCTTCTTGATGATGCCATATCAAATTACAAAATTAAACAATAATTCAAACAAGAAAGATAATTTCACTATTGTCTTACTAAACCTTCCCCTAAAATAACAAAAAATAATTTCTTAAGAATTCTGAAATTAGGTTTTACCGGTCATTAAAGAGAGAGAGAGAGGTACTTTTACCTTTATAAGTATGTTCTAAGAAACTACAGGGAGTGTCCGCGGTCGTACAACAGAGGGGTCGTTAAAGAGGATTATAAATTAATAGTATTTCCAAATAAAATTAAATATGTATAATAATTCAATAATTATTATTAAATAAATTGCAAATAAACACTATAATACAGCCAATTTTTAGTGAAAGCTATAACTCGTAAACAAGAGCTGTCAGAAAAAAGTGGGGGTATATTTAGAATCAGCGACTTAAAATTAATAAACATCATGTGACATAAGTCATTCATGAGTCAAAAAGTGTAATTTTGTTGGCCAGTGTTATAATCCAAATAACTGCAGAACTTCTGAGTCGACAAACTTTTTGTAATCTGCCCACTGTTCACTCGAACCTATATATGTAATATCTATAACAGCTTCTTTGTACAAATCACGAACAAAATTATATTTAACATCCATGTGCTTCAGTCTTTTATGTTCCGAACGCTTCACGGAGTAAATACAGGACCGATTTTCCTCGTAGATAGTAGGAATATGATTAAGATTGACATCGATTTCTTTTATTTAATTGGATACCTAGATCACCTCAGTCGCAGCAGTAGCAAGTGCAACAAACTCAGCTTTGGTTGACGACAGAGCAATTGTTAGGTTTGTTCCAACAGCTAATCTGCTCATCAGAAGGACGTCAGACACATACACATTGAAAATAGTCCGTTCCTACAAAGCCACGGATAATTCAATGAACTGTCAATAAAACGTGCCAACGTATTTTCTGATTCGTACATGAATCTGTCGGCGGATTGCCAAAACAGAGCTTCATCGCTTGTACAATTTATCAGCACTTGCACATTTGAGAGTCTCTTCTCGTTCCTGCTATTTGTGTTATTGTTGTGATTTGAAGTGAAAAATTTTTATTTTTATCTTGTGTACGTTTTTTTTGTGTGTAAATAGATACTTATTTTTAATAAAAAATAAACATATTAATCTTAAGGTTTCAAAAGTGTACATTCAAATAGATAGTACGAGAAAGCTTAAACAAATGTATTATGTTGTATTTTATATAATGTTTAAAATACCTACCTATTCACCAAAGATGTGGTTGGTTTGACAATTCCATTGCATTTTCCGTTCCAACAAGTACAAGTCGCTGATAAAACAAATACGAAAAACGAAATAAAACTTATGTTTAAAATTTAACGTTTTTTTCTTTATCCGTTTTTGAGTTTTCTTCAAAATTCGAAATTTACACATTTTCTCAAATATCTCAAATACGGTCCATTTTAGAGAAATTATGTATAGGATAAAAATTATAGAGAATTATATTACAAACAACTTTTATTTGAACAATTTTTATAAAAAAATATTTTTTACATTTTGTCAAATTTCTCGAATACGGACCATTTTAGGAAAATTTTGTGTGGAACAAAAATTAGATAATAATATAAGAACACACAGACACACAGACATCATCGTGAAAATAGTCAAAACGGATTCAGGGGACCTCAAAACGTAAAAATCCGTCGAAAACTCGAGTTTGAAAAAAATCATGATTCCTATACTTTCCTTATATCTGTATACAGATAGGAAAGTAAAAAGTACAGGCATTTGTCATTCTCGCATTGAGTAAACTTGATAGATTTTAAGTAAGCATCTAGCCGCTTGTTCCAAGTTCTCGGTGTCTGTTTGAGTCCGTATAAACTTTTGTTTAGTTTACAAACGAGACCAGTATGAAATGCAAAATGAGGCAGTTGCTTCATGTATACTTCTTCTGTTAGCTCAACATGTAGAAAAGCATTTTCTACATCTAGTTGAATAGAATACATATTATAGTTGTTGATTACTGCTAGCATAATCCTAATAGTAGTTATGTGTGCTACTGGGGCATACGTCTCGTGGTAATCAAAACCCTTTTTCTATGAGCAACCTTTAACGACTAAATGCATTTTATATTGTTCTACATTACCATCTATATTATATTTCTTTCTGAAAATCCATTTGCAATTGATGGCTTTTCGATTAGAATGTAACTCTGCCAGTGTCCACGTTTTATTTTGATGAATTGCGTCAATTTCTTCTTGAGCAGCTTTTAGCCAATCATCCTTGTCCTCACGTTTATAAATTTCTTTAACTTCTTCAGCAATGGCTAGACTATAGGCGTAGGCACATTCATGATATTTTGGAATAATTATTGAAAACAACAGGTCACGATCTGATAACTTTCCTTTGTTGTGAACACCACAATCTGTAACTGTTTGGACAATAATCTAACATGATGTAACTTATAGATCGTGGAGAGAATTTAGTTTTTAATTCTGCATCAGGTAATCAAACATTTGCTTTGCATCCAAATATTCTTAACTTTTCGAGATTAGGTTTTCTGTCGTACACAATTCAGCAGGTAATTTATTCTTAAGGACAGCTGTAAGACTTCTATTGATAATATATACTGCTATAATGACAACTTCTGACCATAATTGTTTGGATAATTTTGAGTCATCTAACATACAACGAGATTTTTCTAAAATAGTACGGTTTATACGTTCTGCGACCCCATTCTGCTGTGAAGTATGGGTTATGGTATTCTCAATTTGAATACTTTCTTTAGCTGCATACTCTTTAAACAGCCTCGTCGCATCTTAGAAGACCTACTTTGATATTAAATGGGAAGTAGCCATTGCTACATACCTTTCAAAATATTCATATGCTTCAGACTTAGCATTCATTGGATAACTGTAAAATGTGTGTAGTCATCAGTTATTGTTAAAATATATCGTTTCCCGTCGTAATAAGTTGGATTCAAAGGACCAATGACGTCACTATGTATCACGTGTAAGGGATGTACAGTTTAGAACGTGTTTTAATATGTAGAAAGTGGGTCTGCTTTCCATGAAGGCAATATTCACAGATTGTATTAAAATCTATATCAGATTTTAAGGCCATCAATCATTGAAGAAAGTTGCAATAGGCTATTTTTACAGATGTGCCCTAAACGTCTATGCCATAATTCAGCTTCATTGTGAGAACTAGAAATGTTGACTTGTTCTGACTTTTAAGACGTACATATTACTTACTTTTGTGGCAAGAGCTAAAGGAGTATTATCCTTGTAGAGAACAGCTCTGTCTTCTATGAAGACAACTTTTGATCTGTTAGAATCCAATATATTAACGGATAATAAATTAAATTGTATATCGAGTACAATTGAAGACCTTAGAGCAACAACGGTACATGCCACATAGACGTATTTTCGAGAAAATTAATTTTAAAGTTTTTAAGCAAATCCCGAAATAATTGAATATTAAAAAAACCATCAAAGTTCGCTAATTTGCATTCCTAAAACTAAATTTTTTGTAAATAAATGTTAAAAAAAACATGTGGCTTGTACCGTTTTTACATTAAAGTTTAATTAGCCAATTTTTACAGCAAAAATATTTCTTGTAAATAATGAGAGTCTTGTAGTGCTAAACAAAATGTATATTATAAATCAAAATTTACAAAAATAAAAAACTAGTTCGTTAATCCGAGTCTATGTCGCTAAAGTCGTCCAAATGCTCAGTCTCGTCACCTATGGCCGCGGTGATATTTACATCAGCTTCAGCTACAGCACCATCAGCTTCAGTCGCACCAATTTCTCTATAGTAATCATGATAAATAGGTGGTATATATTTTAAGAGCTCTGACCGGTTGGGTATCTTTTTTGGATTAAGTGGAACTGGGCCATTATACTTAGGTTTTAAATCGCGCAGTGTAAGGTTGGCTGATATTCTTGCGCCTCTCTTGCCAATATTGACCGATTTAAAATCTTCATTCCAATATTGCTTCACAAACATTACATTCGGAGTATTTTGCTCAAACCTAATTGCACATAATTTACTAAAAGTTATTAAACAACTCGTATTACTTTGAAAAAGAATTTTGAGAGCCACTATATTTAAAACTTACTAAACTTGACTATCGATTAATGTTAAAAATATAGAAAATCACTAACCATTAAGATATTATAATTAAATAAGGTTTCAGATAAGGTAGCGACAAATTCTAATTCACAGAAACTCACCTATTCAAATTTAAATGATTTATTATCAAAAGACTTATCTGTGAACAAGAGGTAGTATTTAAGGAGAGACTTGTAGAGGCCTTCTTCAAGGGTATTCGTATGATATACTTCGGATATCACCAACTCTTAAGTATAAATCTTCATAGGTAAACTTAAATCTCATTAACTTGTTTAGATGACTCGAACTAAACCTCTTGATATACTTGAAATAAACTTCTGTAGCTGGGACTAAACTTCTAAGTTTCTATACTTCTAAACATCAAAACATGCAGCTTGAACCTTCTTCTAAACTTCTAAACAATCTCTTTCGATATAACACCTACAGAACCATCTAGATACAGCAAGGCTACAAGGAAAAAGGTAAAAATATCAAGAAAGGAACCAGGAAGTTTATATAGGAAACAGATAAGATGCTTTTTACTATTAAATGAACAATTTAAATTATTAAATGAATAGCTTTACAGAGACCAAAATTAATGTGAAAAGGAAAAATCTTATTTAACATATTTAAATATAGTAAAGCATATTATCTCTTTCCTAACAAAATAATAGATAAAATTATATAAAACATGTGAGTATTGTGTCATTCAATTTGCTGAGGTTATGTACAATACTTGACATTTTAATAAAGAAATTCTTTTACAAAATATATATTTTCAACAAAATTACGGTAGGAAACTTACCTTTTTAAAATCAGACGGTCATTAAAAATATTAAAGACAATTAGTACATCGGATGTCCAAGATAAAAGATAATTAAAAATTCAAATCAACTTGCTCGTTGACAGATATAAATCGAAATGAATTATCAACTTTTGACACAAGGCATAAACGAAAAATGACATTTGTGTAGAGATGTTGGTGTCAAAATAACGAAAACGGTTCCAACCGTTACAATGTTTGGGTCTAAATAACGAAAACAGTTACAAACTTGATACAGTTGAAGTTTTTTTAATTTATATTGACAGAATCTCATTAACAACATAAAAACTGAACATCTGAAAAATATTGTATACAGAGTGCTTTCTTTGAAATTGAAACAGTTTACAATAAAAACTTTTATCCAATTTGCAACTTGTAATATGTGCCAATGACCAAGTCCAGTTCTGTTTATTTTTAAATAAACAAATATGGCCGTCGATAGAATCTCTAAAAATTAAATAACTTACCAAAGTAAATGTAAATTTACTTTATTAGCGTCACACTTCAGACGTTCATTATAAATACAGCTTTTTAGAACACATCTTGGCATTTTCAACATAAATTTTCAATATTTAAGTCACTAACATACTAAATTAATTCTCGTTGACGCAATAGATTTGAATTAAATTTGAACGAACAGTACACGTGACGTTCTCAACTGTGATTGGTGGATGTGAATAATTTCAAAGTGGGATTATACGCAGTGTGTTATGTTCTATCAACGGTTTGTATAATCTAAGGTCACAACTAACAAAAATTTACATAATTCATAGTTTACTGATCCTTCATCAGATCCTTAATCTGTTGAGGGGTTTTTTAAAATAAGATAATTCTTAAAATTACTTGATTTTCCTCGAACTTTTTAAACAGCCTCCGTATCATTTCAGACTTCCCCATGTTTACAGTTACCCAATAATCGTTTGCTGTATTCTCAAGTTTATTAAATGTGTATAATCCTACATATTATTTCATAAAACTGATAAATGTTTTATTGATGACACGTTGACCTTTAAAATGTTATTACTCCCGATTTTCTTCTCGGCATAAATACAGGTAACTTGTTGTGGAGAAGCAGATTTTGTTTTGCCGGCAAAGATGCATCTTCTGTGCAAGACTGTTGTTTTACTAACGGTGGTAGTTGCAATAAGGGCTGAGAAAAATGATCTGACAAGAGATTTAAAAGTCATCCTACCAAGTGGTGATAAGATGTCTGTTATAGGATGTAAGTTGATTTTTTATAGACAAATATTAATAAACTTAACTGCTATTTAGAGTAATTTATATTTAAAGAAAACTGCGATAAATCGATGTAAAAACATATTAATAAATTAAATTGTATTAGAACTAGTAATTTTTGATCTCCAAAAACAACTTAAAATAGTTTTTCGTGTATAGTTCATTGCTCAAAAACTGTTTCTACGACTGCTACATATAAATTTACATTATTCTCACAGTCTACTTACTGAATTTCTCAAAAGTAATGCAAGAAATAACTGTGAGAAATCATTTCTCACGACTCTCTCCACTTCTAAATAAATATACAATGATTTCATCTAATTACCTCTAACTTTTATTTGGTTAAAAACTGTCAAATTTAAGAATTTAATTCCAATATCATTTTTTATATAATTTACTTTAATAGAATAGCTAGTGGTATCAAAAGTGCCATTTTAATTTGTGTAGTATGATATTGCATTTTTTTTAAATTAAGCTATAACCGACAAAGACAGATATATAAGTTATTTCTAAGATAAATAATTATTGTACACTCTGACAGGCGTGATTTTTCTATGGCCTGGTTTAGAAACATTTTTTGGTTACTCCATACGAATTTGTTCATCTGGTGTAAATTAAAGAACGTAGTAGAAGTGAAGGGTGTTGATAAATTAGTTTCCAGAAGATAATACCCCATACAGCACAAACATATTTCGGAAATATTTCAAAAATATTACTTTGAAATATTTATGTATAAATATTACGGAACATCCCAGAAACATTTCTGAAATGTGCTTAAAACGTAAAATGTACTGTAAATATAATATTTCTGAAATAAAAATTTGAAACCTTTTAGAAATATTAAATAGTAATATTTCAGAAATGTATTTTAGCTTTTTTTTATAAAATATTATTAGATTAAAAAAAATACATTTATAAATATACAAATTTATTTAAAATATATAAAACTCAAACACTGTTTCTTAAACAAACAAATATAGTATATTACATTACGAGTGTGGAAAGTCACATTTTTCACACGCGCGGGAAATATAGTCGCACGAGGCATAAGCCGAGTGCGTCAATCACGCAAGTGTGAAAAATCACTTTCTCACAAGTGGTGTACAATATTTTTTCTACGACCAAAAAATAATTTAATCAAAAAAATGCAAAACTAGAAAATTTGGCTATAAAGGTTAGCTGGTTTTAGATTTGTTTTTTATATCCCTCATTGAATCATTTTTCAAGCGTTTTACATTACAGATAGTGTTTTGTCAAAATTAAAAATATTGTGATTCCATTTACAAACAATTTCATAGGATCATAAAGGTAAAATAACATTAGTTACAATTGTTTTAAACAAATAAGTTAAACAATCGTTAACAAAATATTTTTTATTATTATTGGTTACTCACTTCTTTACTTACAATTTTTTTTTAACAGTAAATATATTAGTACCAAATATTGTAGGGGTTATAATATGATAATTTAAAAAAGTCAGACGGTAAACCATTTACGCTATCATGGCTGTCTGATTTGGCTTATCTTATTAAATATGTATGTGAACCAGAAAAAACAAAAATAATGTACGTAGTTACTTTAAAAATATTTTAATAATTTAAGAAATATCTTGGATCTATTTTTAAAAATTAATGTTAACAATTTAATCATCAAATCGACTTTACTATTAAAATGGACATTACATCAATCAAAATATAAATTGGACGTCTGACTTATTTGAGAGCTTATGCGGAAAGTAGATTCATATTCACACACGTGTGGAAAGTAAATTTATCCACACGCGTGTGATATAAGGCACTTCCCATAAGACTAAACAGTGCGATAGGTGGCACTTTCCTAAGTGGTCGTAGGAAAAATAATTTTTAAACATTATTTCATAAAATATAAAAGCAAATCACTTCATTTTCACAAATTCCTTTAAATGCACTAATCTGAAACAAATATTTTTTTTTAATAAATTCCCCAGTAAAGAAACATTTTCGATTATTACAATGTGATCATTAAGATTAGCATTTTTTATTCTAATCTACTTTATCAAGGGATGAAAAACTTTATAAACTAATATTCTACTCACTAGTATACCTTAGAGTCTAATTATTTAGTTACACTATCGTTAACGTATAACACTTAACCGCACTATACTCTGCTTTAACATCACTGAACTAACTAAAAAGGCTTGGTTCTCTTGAGTCTTCGTATTAGATTGGCATTGTTGAGGAGCTGGATAATCTTAAGGTTTGGAGCAGTCGTTGGTGGCTACTAGCAACTTTTTGTATTGTATTTTCAACAGTCTCCACTTTAAGGTCCCTATGAAGATCAGTATTGTGGCAGTAACAGAGTGCATCGACGATGTTCCTTGATATTTTATTCTGGAGAAGTTGAATAACTTCGATGTTACTTTAACTGGCACAGCCCCAAAGCTGGCGAATTGCTTAACTTTCACCAATTCCTTTAAATGCACTAATCTGAAACAAATTATAGGTAATTAAAAAGGCCTATTAATATTGTTTTAAATTAGCTATAATAAAACAAACAATACTCATGCCTACACAAAACATGAAACTGCACTTTTCAATCAGCTGTAAAAATACTAGATAAAACTTGTGGGGGGACAGCAAATATAGGTTATATTTAAATAGAAATAATATAAAATACCTATAAAGGAGAATAGGCAGTTTTGGCCCACCTCCCAATAGGAGTAATATATATGCCAAATGAAAGATATCGGTAAGGAGAACATTTGTTTTTATTATGGCCTCTCAATTGTCTGTCCGTTCCGAGTTATACAGTGTATACTTAAGTTGAAACAATATGGAAAACTTTTTTAATATTGGTTTTCTGAAAAAATATATTGTTGATAAGAAGTTCTGCATGGTCCAAAACTTAAAATGCAATCATGAGATATCAATTTTTTTAAGTTGGTCAAAAAATATGAATTTTACTCAATAGTAAAGTACCTTATTTTTAAAATACAGAAGAATGTTATAAAGTAAAGTAATTTGTAATTAAAAGTTATATCTAAATATGCAATTAGAGTCATTTGGCATAAAAATAGGTGATTATTTACGTTTTACCTACATAGTAAATTATTTGTAGTTATATATTCACCAAACCGAATTTTAATTCTTAACTGGTTATAATTGCATATTTTTAATTGAAAATACCTTTATTTTATAACATTGTAAAAAATTGATAGTTGCATCTCAAGTTTTGGACCAGGTAGAACTTTTTATCACATATGAATTTTTTCATAAAACGAATAATAAAAAACTTTCCCTTATGATTTCAACTTAAGTAGAAACACTGTATGATAGTGCATGAGACGAAACACTCGTTTTTTTTTTTTGTTAAAAACCCCCTTTGTTAACTCTAAAAGTGTTTTTATTAGTGAGTACCCGATGGGAACTCCATAAAACCTGTTTTGTTAGCGCATCTGGAAAACAAAAAATTTTGAGCTCGTCAACTTTGTGGAGTAATTTTTCAATATAAAAGTCAAAAGTTAATTAGTTAACAATGGGGCTAACACCCGAAAAATAAAAAACTACTGACATCTGGGCAGCCAATATTACTACTTTCGTGTATTGTTAGTTGCCTATGATTAACTTCATTCTTTTATTGACAAATATAAAATCATGTTCATTTATTCTCAACGACTTGTAGTGTGTTTATATGACTGATTAAAGTGGGTTATTTTGTCAGTTTTAATTATTTTGTGCTGATTTAGATCGAATAGAAAAACAAAATTATAAGTTTAACCAAATTCTCTTTTTATAAGTTAACCTGCCCTTCTTTAATATACATTTTCAATAATAATGTATTTTATTGATTTTAAATCCAAAAACGGTTTATTTTTAATTCTTTTCTTTTCGCAACTGATAACATAATGCATTTTTCGAAACCAGTTTTACAATGTTCAACATTATGCAACTGGTTGCGTAAAGTAGATCATTTTGTCACTTGCTGCGGTTACAAAAAATGTCACTTAATATGTCAAAATTAGAAAAAATATTTTGTGTTTAAAGTTGCAAATTGATAGAAAGTATTGAATTATTGAATAAATCTTTGGTTGTAAACGTTTTAGATAGTTAAACGAAAATAAATCATCATAATTTGTTAATTTAAATAAAACTATATGAAGTCAATTTAATTACAAGTATTAAAGCAACAAAAATGAAAGAGTAGGTCGTCCTGTGGTTAGCGTTCTTGCCTTTCACACGGAAGATTGGAGTTCGATTCCCAGAAGGCGAAAAATGAAATAAACTTCTTTTCTTTTTTTTTTTAGTCTATTTTATTTAAAAAAATTAAAAGTCATAAATTATTTTAAAATTAGTTATTTTGTCTTAATAACCTAAAATATTTTTTTTTATTTATATATTTCCGTTAGTGGGTTGTAGTAAAAATACACTATACCACTCGAGTGGATTGTCCACATCGCACTCAGACTCAAATTGCGTCTTCGTGCGATATGGCCATCATATCCACTCTTGTTGCACAAACTACTATTTTTCACGCTTGGGCAACAGGTAACCTTTTTGGATATTGTAACTAAATTGTAGGAGATCAAGAAGATTTGGTGTTCTCTCCAAACAGTGATTTTGAATACAGGGTGTCCCAATGAAAAGTAGCCCATTTCCAGAGCTTATAACTTTTAAACAAATCGTAGGAACGTGCGGTTTAAGCTGATATGTGTTATTTAGCTATGAGTTTTGCTTCAGTGACACAGAAATTGTGTATTACCTATACAGGGTGATTTTTAAAAATCTCCCCTTTTAAATTCACCGTAACCAAATTTTATCAAATGGAAACGGGCTACTTTTTATTGGGACACCCTGTGTATATACAATACAAAAAGCTCTAACACGTTTTGCACACTTTGTAAGTATCTCCTCCTGGGAGGCTATATTTTTTAACTTTCTGCCCCCCCTCCTCGCTTCAAGTACATAATAGACCTTTCCTAAAATAATATGGGGATCATCACGGATATAACAACCAACAATTGAGTTTTAACCCATTGCCCAATCTTTAATATAAAGCTCAGGAAATCAATATTTTACACGGAACGTATATTTTCTCCAAAATTACTGGCCATATTTTTGAGTGGTAACAAAGCAAAACATGTTCAAAATGGACCAAAAAGACATAATCCGTTTAAAAATTGCTGGGACCTTTCAGCGAATACTATGGTTCTGTATTACAATATAATAATTTTGTAGTAAACTTAGCGACACAATAAATGAAATGTTTCCTTTTCAGTTGGAACTGGAGGTGTAAGAGGTATAAGAGGAATTGAAAATGTAACAAAAATTTTAGATGATGTCTTAGGTGCAGGATACAGGCTAATAGGTAAGTAATTAGATCATTAATGTTGATAATTTTTTTTTTATTATTTAAATTGAAGGTAATCTTATTGGCTGTTTATATCTATCAATAAGGTTTCTTTGAAACATAGGTTGTATTTAAATAATATAATTTGATTGGAACAAATTTGCATTCTATATGAAGTGTTAAATATAGCTATTTGTATTACTAGGCAGGAAAGTGCCACTTTTCCTCCCGCAGGATGAAGTTTACTACCCGACGCGAGGCGGAGGGCAGTAAACATCCAAGGGAGGAAAAGGCACTTTACTCCCAAGTAATACATATGATTTTTCCGCCTCCCTCAAATAACAAGTCATTTTTAAATAATTTTCTTCGGCGCATTGCTTGAAATGTAAATACTGTTTTTCGTATTTTTCTTTAGATTTTTGGGGTAATAGAGATTGTACTGTTGCATTAACCTGTTCCAAAATATCCGGTGGTGTATTAAGTATATCTTCAAATTCGCCTAAATCACTCATTTTTTAAATATTATATTATATTTTGTAGATATATTATAGCGTAACACACTTTGAAACTGATCTGTCAATCGACCATAGCATGCTATAATATTTCTGTCCTAAAATCGAAAATCGGATGAATCTATGAATTGAAGTCAAATTATTAATGTAAAAATCGTTAAATTAAAATAACAATTTACTGGTTTTTACTATTTTGCAAAATACAGGGTGTTCTGTAAATAAACGGTAAAATTTATACTTATATAATAGAATATAGTTTAGGTCGTCAATGCCGTATAAGCTATTTCATTTATGATATACCATGACGTCACTTTTACTTTTCCTCTCTAGGGAGTAAAAGTACTTTTCCTCCCTAGGGAGTAAAAGTACTTTTCCTCCCTAGGGAGGAAAAGTACGACTTTGCTCCCTGAAATGAGGCCAGAATAGTATATTATGCAACGATCATGTAATGATGGTTATTAATACACGAGCATTAACCGGGATACGAAACGAGCCAAAGGCGAGTTTCGTATGGTTTATGCGAGTGTTTTAATAACCATTACATGAGAGTTGCATACGCTATTTTTTCTACACCCGATAAATAATCAAGACCTATAAATATTATATTTATATTGGTATTGAACACAATAACAGTAATTACTCGTATTTCTATAAAAAATTCTACAAAATTGTAATTAATGGTATTACTTCAGGTATTGGTATTTCCCTAGATTTTTGCGGTAAAATATTTTGTACTGTATTTTCTGCTTTCTCCGATATGTGTGGAGGAGTCTTCTATATCGCTAATATCAGACATTTTAATATTATAATTATCGAAGTTTAGCTACCTACGAAAATTTAATACGTTTTGACAACTAAAATAATTACATAGGAACCTAGGACAAACGTCAAACAGCATGCTTGATTGAAAAATTGTAGGTTTCTATTGATTATTAATCTGTATCGTAATGAAAAATCTGTATCATAATGGGTATCATTATGAAACGGATTATGGGCATATAAGTGCATTATTATAATACGGGTGTAGAAAAAATGTATACTTTGGATAGAGGTAGGCGGAAAATACATTTATCTAGAATGTAATTTATGATTATTTTTTAAGATACGGCTGCTGCTTACGAAAATGAAGAAGATATCGGAAAGGCCTTAAAAGAACTTTTGCCCAAATATAATCTGACGAGGAAGGACATTTTTGTTACTTCAAAATTAGGTAGGCATCTAATGGATACGTTTGATCGCTTTTTAAATTTCCATCTCCTTCTTTTATCCACTAGCCCATAAATATACATATATTTTCTTCGTATTTGATAATATTCTATTACGTGGCAGTCCTAAAGGCAAGAGATTAAGCTCATTACCCATTTTACAAGGTTTTATTTATTGATGACATATCATATTTTAAGATCCCGCAGCTTCTCCTCCATTTTTCCCTATATTGACCAGTGCAAGACTTTTTCAAGTAATAATAGCTATTTATATATCAAGGGCGTAAAATAGGCGTTTATGGACCGCAACGTGTAAGTAAGAGCCCGAGACGCTGTTTAAACCCGAAATACATACAAAATTTTATGCACAATCCTTTTAATGATAATTTATTAACAAATATACAGGTGCTATTAGTGCGTAATTGTTAAATATTTCAATTTGTGTTATGGACACGTAAAAAAGTTTTTAAAAAAGTTATGTGGATTTGAAAGATACATATTTTAAAAATATTTTTGGATATACAGGGTGTTGCGTTTTTGCCTGGCAAATAAAAATAGAATTTTTAGAATGGTGTGGTATGGTAACCCTAAAATGATTTTAAAAAATATTACAGTGTTGCCATGCAATTAATTTTTATTGAAATTAGAGAATAATGCAAACCCCAATTTAAATTATTATATTTAGGTAGTTTTATATTGATTTCAAAATTGTTTTATGTACAGACATTAGCTACTACGCTAAAAAATAGTGGTTATAGAACTAGTTTATTTTATACATGTCTTAAATTTGGCTAAATATAGCTAAATATGGCTACATATGGCTAAATTTAAGTTTAATTTACTCAATATATTATTTTAATATGAAGTTCCAGAAGTTCATTATAACTTTACCTATCCAACTATACGAATATGTTAGTCAATAACATACATACAGAGTGTCCCATCAGTGCGTAATTGATCGATAGTTGTTTTATTATTGGAAATACGAAAAATAATAATATAAAAGTTGTATGATCATAAATATTCTTAAATAAACAGGGTGGGCAATAAACGAGGAGCTGACCAAGCTTATACATTTTTGAAGCAAAACCCTGTTGGTAGTTATACATATTTGATTGTTTTCACATCGTCAAACAATTTTAATAGACTTCAATCATTTGTTATTTTATATATAGTGTCTGTCAAAATGCGGGATAACGATTTTCTCGATTTTTTACATGGAATACCCTATATGTCATACCACCAATTAATTAATACAGGGTATTCCATTTAGAAAATTGAGAAAATCGTAACCTCACGTTTTGACACACCCTATATACAATATAGCAAATGAGTGAAGTAAATTAAAATAGTTTGACGATGTAAAAACAATTAAATATGTAGGATGTTTTTCTTTAAAAAAAATGTAGATTTGATGAGCACCTCGTTTATGGAATGTATATTTAAGAATAATTGTTAAATATGGTCATACAACTTTTATATTAAAAATGTCTTAACATTTCTAATAATAAAATAGATATCGATCAATTTCGCACTTATGGGACACCCTGTATATGTGTTATTGGCTAACATAATGGTATAGTTGTATAGGCAAATTTATAAGGAATTTTATGTTGAAATAATATACAGGGTGTTGCATTTGAAAAAAATTGAGTAAATTGTACTTAAAAATAGCCATATTTAAGACATGTTTCAAAACACTCTGTATAAAATAAACCAGTTCTATCACCACTATTCGTTAGCTCAGTATCTTGTAAGTTTGTGTATTAAACAATTTTGAAATCAATGTAAACCTACCTAAAATTATAATAATTTAATTTGGGGTCAGCATCCTCTAATTTCAAAAAAAAATTAATTGCTTGGCAACACAGTAATATTATTTAAAAACTGTCTAGAGTTAAATACAGTATTACCAAACCATCCTAAAAATAAAATAAAATACACGGTTTTCTATTTAAAAATCATACATTTTTGTTTGCCATTCAAAAACGCAACACTTTTTAAAACATATATTTTTCAAATCCATATAACTTTTATTGAAAACTTTTTTGCGTGTTACACAAATTGAAACATTGAACAATTGCGCACCAATGGGACACCCTGTATAAAATTTTATGTACAACCGTTTTAATGATCGTTTATTCATAAATAACTATTATTTTCTCTTTTTCGCCTTTTGTGAGCAGGACACTTTACGCTCGCTAAACGTATTTATGATCTGGACTTTATCGCCCGGTCGGGCATAAATAATATTTTCATACCAAAAAAAAATCTGTTAATTTAATTTGTAGCCGCAAGTAAAGAAGCCTTTGGTGAAAATGCTTACAAGGCTTTAAAGCAATCATTTCAACGTTTCGGCTTTGACTATATTGACTTATACCTTATTCATTTCCCTGGATACTTCCCACCTCCTGGACCAAACACGAACTTCTCAACATTGAGGGACGAAACCTGGAAACAGCTGGTAAAAGGTCAGAAAGAAGGTTTAACAAGGAACCTTGGAGTGTCGAATTATAATATCAGACATCTAACAGAATTGTTAAATAATGACCATGGAGTTAAACCCGCGGTGAATCAGGTCAGTGCTTTATAAATTTCTGTTATATAATCTAATGAAAGTGGGTAAGTGGATCAATCGTCGTATTTTTTTAGGTGGAATGGCATCCAGAATATCATCAAGATGAGCTTCTGGAATTTTGTAAAAAACAAGGAATAGCATTGCAAGCTTACTTTTCTTTGGGAGGCGTTGAAAATAAAACGACTTTACTGGAAAAACCTGACGTTAAACACATCGCAACCAAATTAGGAAAAACTCCTGGACAAGTAAATATGCATTTTAAATGATATAATTATGACAGTTTCATGTTGTTTTATAAGAATAAACATGAAATTTTAATAACGTTAATATTTAGGTTTTTAACGATTTAATATGTTCTTTAAAGGTTCTTTTGAGGTGGGCTGTACAACAAAATGTATTGGTAATTCCGAAGTCTCGAAGCAGAAAGCATATGGAGCAAAACTTGGATCTGAATTTCGAAATACCTGAATATGATATGAATATTTTGAGTAATTTAAAACAGCCGGGCAAATACATTTGGAACCCAGACACGATTATATGATGTTCTGTTTTAACATAAATTATTATGTATTATTTTTTGTATATTTTTCAAAATAAATGAAATTTGAGTTTAAATATATCATCGTGTTAAAGAATGACAACTTTGAAAGTATCCTTATCAATTACAAATAGAGAGAATTTTAGTTGCAAAATAAGATTTGGATAGAAAAATATTTATAATTCAATTAAAATTGAACCTTGAAGAATTATTAATAATTGGCAAATGAATTTGTAAATAGAAAAAATCGTGATAAAATGTGTTATTGAAATTACAAATAAATACTTGAATATATGTATTTAATAAAGAATGTTTATTTAAGATTTTATCTTTAAACAATACAATACTTAACAGTAAAAGCAATACAAACTATTCATTACTTATTTATTAAGCAATCTTATAAATTATAAATTATGTTTAGGTTATTCCTTACACAATATTAAAAATATGCAATTGATTTATAATCAATATAATATATTTTGAAACTAATAATTCACCATTTACTTGTGTGAAGATAGCACCCGGAGCCCGAGTAAGAGAGTGAGAGCTATGCATATGATCGCTTTGATTGTTATATATCAAACCAAATTAGGCTATCTTCATTATTTATACATGGTGTAAAAAAAAGTTGCATAGTATATTAAACTACAATTTCTGGAATCGAAAATAAGCCGGTTTAATGTAACTTGATTATACAGGGTAGCTGTTAAAGATGGAACCAAACCTATAGTGCTTAAATGGTTCAACATACAAAACTCAAAATTTCAGAATTTCAACTAAATATATTTGCGCATATTTTAGCCCAAAAATATTTTTTTTTATAATTACAAAACTTTATACATGACCCCCATCTTGATTTTTTTAAATAGCAACATAGGTCATGTGATATTCCATTTGAAAGGGTTTAACACCCTGATTACAAAAATGTATCGCACATGGGGTCTAAACACAACAGAAAGGATATTTTTAAATGTTTTTGTAAACTTAAGCCATTTTATTAAAGCAATATAATTTAATGTGAATCCTATTACATGTATTTTACATTTTTATGAAAACGATAATTTATAAATAAAATAAATTAATAATTAAAATAAACATTACCTAACTTTTTAACGAAGAAATTGTTCAAATTTAATATTTGACGTCTTGTGTCAAATGCACAGCCTCCTACGCTCCCTATTAATAATATCCTTTCTGTTGTGTTTAGACCCCGTGTGTGATACATTTCTGTAATCAGGGTGTTAAAATGGTATATCACATGACCTATGTCGCTATTTAAAAAAATCAAGATGGCGGCCATGCTTAAAATTTTGTAATTATAAAAAAATAATCTTTGGGTTAAAATATGCGCAAATATATTTAGTTGAAATTCTGAAATTTTGGATTTTGTATGTTGAGCAGTTTAAGCACTATAGGTTTGGTTCCATCTTTAACAGCTACCCTGTATAAAAAAAGAACAGTAAAAAACTTACAGAGTGTTAAAGTAGAAATTTCAGAGGTAATTTTTTATTCTTACTACAAAACGGTTTAAAATATTTTTATGATTTTTCTACTCAAAATATGGTGAATACATTCAAAATAAAAAATGACAAAAATTAGAGGTATTTTTAAGCGAGTGTTTGGTTTAAAATATTTTTGATTTTTTTAAACCGTTTAAATTTTACGAAATAGTTGAAACCAAAACTAAAATCTTTGAACTAGTCAAAGGCATATGAGCTGTTTTTTAGCCACCATATCGATTTAAAATATTTTTAAACTATATTTAAAGTGACGTCATTAATTAATAGATGGCAAAAATCGAGTGTAGGTGTAATAGTAGTTCCGCTACCGATACCGATACTGAATTATATACAGTCTATAGAACGTTTTGTCAAATTTTTCTAAAAATCGGTGAGTTCCGTATATACTCAATACAATAAAGAACCGGCACCAAAACAACTTTTCAAATATATGGAGTCATACGAAAAAAAAAATAGACCATTCAATGTTGGGTTCTAATAAACAGTGCTGTTCCTAAAGTGGCGCTGGGAAACAGTAACAAAGCCTACACAGAACACGAGACGAAATAACCAGAGTAGTTAAAGCTGATGACAACAAAAAAAATTAAATAAAAGAAAGGAATTCTTGGAAAAATTAAAATAAATAATAACTAAAAAATCAGCTTTGAGGCACGATCGGAACTTGTACAATAAATAAAGCCATTTTTTTACTATTTAGAGAAAAAATTTCAACTTCCCCAATATAATAATAATAAAATAATAATACTCTCCCTAATTCATCCCCTTACAAGTGAATTTTAACCCCAAAAGCTGAGCTTGTGCGGGGAAAGGGACGGCTATTATTATTATTTGCCATGGCGCTCCTGGGCGACTTAAAGATGATTGATGGTGCCATTTGACTTACAGGTGAGGAAAACCCGGAAAGCCTCACCCACCATCATCGAGACGGTAATGTACGGCGATTTTTTATAATCTGCATGTCATATCAACAGAAATTGAATTTCTATGAATACGGCACACATCAAATCCTATACCCAACCATGCAATTTAATTAAAAATCGACATGGTATGTTCTGGGATTCGAAGCCTAGCAGTCTCTGACACATAAACTTGCTTATAAATGAATATAAGCGCGTTAGACCGCTACACCACCGACCCGATGATATACGGCGTCATACGAATAAAAGAATAAAGAATAAAAAAGAAGAATTTTCGGAAATAATATAATAAATCATAACTTCAAAAATAAGCTTTGAGACTCGATCGGAACTAGTACGATAAATAAATAGTCTGAATGATTGCAATAAAAAAGGGCTTAATAATTAAGCCCTTTCTTATTGTGAATGAATGGATTAGTCTGGTATTTTTCGTCATCATATTAAGGATGATTCTTATGGCACGTTGGAGTCTCCCTTTAGATGATATCTGAACATCAGTATAGTTTTAGAGAGGAAAGATCACATACTTTGATTACTATACGAGGCAAGAGAGAGGTCCGACACGCCCAACATAGGGCGCGGCCATTTTGAACCCTGTTACACAGTTTACAGCTAAAGAATCAGATCGCTCTCTCTGCGTCGGCACTTTTGATCTCAATGTTTCAGTTTATACACTGTGCAACTCAGATAATACAAAATATGACAACCGCCTATCATAAAACAGCAGTCTTCTGCGTGTCCTGAATTTGTATCCCTGGAGTGGATGTTATTTTGGAACTTTCAACTAGTCCGAGTAAGCTAACTGATTCTTTAGCAATAAACTGTGACTTCAAAAATAATATTCACTGACACCACATACTTTGATTTTCTATGTGACTGACACTGACAGCAGCAAGCAAAATATCAGGTGCGTTTTAATCATCCGCTTCTGCTTCCGGAATTGTCGGTTTAGTCGTTTTAACCTGTCAGATTAAAACAAGAAAACCGACAATTCCGAAGCAGAAGCGGATGATTAAAACGCACCTATTAAAAATATTGCGCCAAGATGTAGGCAAAACGTAATAAGGGTTCAAAATGGCGGAGTTTTCTATCTCCTTTTAAAAGGCACTCAGAAAGCTGCGCAGTGCGACCATTCTCCGTATAGTAAAAGAAAATCAAAGTATGTGGGAAAGATCGATAGAAGACGCAATATACAAACTTTCCGCTGAGCCTATCTAGCAATAAGTTTTGTCTGACATTTCAATCTAATTGTTTACAAGTTTAGTTAGCTACAATTGTCAAATGAAGGATATGAGGAAAGAACAAGAAATGTCACATTTTATTAATTTTTGAACTATTGGCGCTATTTTATAAGATACAGTTCAATTGAATGGGGCATGTTCAAAAATTTTGAAATTTTTTTTATGAATAATAGAGTTCAAACTAAAGCTACATTTAAATTTTTTTTTATCTATTCATTTGCCAGAGATATTAATTTTTTTAAATTTATGACGTTACCGGGAATAGACCAATAGGAACTAGCCAGTATACGAAAAGTAATATACGTTCGTTTGTGTGCACCGTCTTACTTTTAGACTTCTAAAATATCGTTAAACAAATATCTTTTAAATATAAAATATCAAATGTTTTTAAAAGTATTATTTATGTTTAAACTTTTACCATATTTATAGTTTCATTGTTTTAAAAAACGACAACTAATAAACAAGAAAATGGAAATGCGGCAGCATTGCATGTGTCATCTGTGAATCAAGAATTTTTTTATGCAATTTTGATGTTTTTATAAATATTATGAGTATGAAAAAAATGTTTCCTCCCAAGATGTGATAATGATTTACATTCATTAATAAAAATATTTATTAGTGTTACTAGAAATATGAAAAGACGAAAATTATTATCATTACACAGAAACGCTTCACGCAACAACTAAATTATTTTGTTGAGGTTTGTATCTATACTCTTTATTAAAATAAAAATGTTTTATTGTAATTTAATTATTTAATTATCTACCATTGTAGTAACGATGTTTTTCCTTTTTTTTTTAGATACCAGATGATTTTGAAAACTGTTCATTTTTAAATGATGGGTAAACCTTTACATATAAGAAGTGGGTACTTAGTACCACACAAATATCTCGACAGTTCTTGTTATTCACCACACAAGAGCCAGCTGACTGATTCTACCAAAAAAAAAAAAACAGAAAACAAAAAATGTTGACTGGAAAATAACGTTCTACTAGAGGCATTTTTCATCTCTATTTAATAAACATACACCGGATCTTCAAGATGCAGTAACAATTTCTGACAATTATTGTTAAACATATTTTTAAAATGATGTCTCCAAAAAAAAATATCACTTAAACGGCAAAAATTAGTACAGAATTACTGCTCAAAAAGTCCTGCGAAAGATATGAATAAGTATCATCTATTTTGCAAGAGGCGTCGGCAAAAAAAGTAACACAATAAATGATGATATTCTTATATGTTCTTCCTTGTTTTTGTTTTCAGAGAGGTATAATGATAATGAGACGTATCGTTCATTACACGTCCATAAATGCGTTTTTCTACACCTACATGGATAGTAGCTCATCTACACACATACTACAAAACGAAAAAGTATGCCATTGCGTTCAACTGAACGAATAAATATATTTCATATCTATTCTAGGTAGTAAAACAAAAAATTAAATCCACCAATCGCAGTTCATAGTTTGGACACCCAACTACTATTATTTTTAAAATTTTAAATAAGTAACAATTCTGTCAAACTATTTGAGAGTTTATTTTTAGTTATTGAGATTAAATATACATTAAAAAGAATTATTTCTTAGTAGAATCAATAAATAATAGCATTTTTATTTTTATTTCGTTCACATTTACAAATAAATCGTAAATGTTTATCAAACTATATATAAAACTAATTTAAATACGAATTTTAAAACTAAAATGGTAAATGTGGCGACGGAGGTAAAAATATGGCGTTTGGCTTTCATTAAATTAAATTTTATTTTATTTCATAAATTAGTAAAAGACCTAAATTATTTTAAAATTAGTTATTTTGTTTTAACAACCTAAAATAATTTTAAAAATTTGTAGATTTTCGCTAGTGGGTCGTAGAAAAAATATACTGTACAACTCGAGTGGATTGTCCATATCCAAACTACTATTATATAAAAATATTTTACTATTCCGCAACATAGATATTGAATAAAAAGGAGATTTACCTACTTGTTTAACTATTATTAAAGAAAATGATATGTATATAGAAATTAAAAAATATGCTCATGTTTAAATCGTTTAGATGTTTTGACTTAGGTACTTTGTTGTTTTAAATAGAACAACCAATGAAATGTTTTTTTTAATTTTACAAATTTGATTATTGATTATGGATTTCCAAGTTAAGTGTGTAGATTTTATAAAAAAAAACAACTTTTCTTGATTTTGGTGTAAAAATGTCATATTCTCGCATGCATTTTTGTTAGCATTCATTACTTTGCTAGTAAATAAATTCCACCTGACAGTTGGTTTATATCTAATTAAATATTACCAACTGACATATTTTGCGAAAAAAATCCCAAACTAATAATGACCACAAAAATAAAAAACTGTAAATAAAGCCCAAAATCGATAAAACAGTAAAAAACACACGTTGCAGAACTCATTCTTTCGAATTCTTGCGGGATATGTGGCCTCCTGTAACTTGTATTTTCATATACTATTTTAGCAAGATATTTTGCTATATACTCGAGAGCATCATCTATGATTTCAATCGAAACTTTTTTTCATAGTTTGTGCTTAAAGTGGTTCGATTTCCAGGTACATCAAGTCTGTTTAAGAGAATTTTAATAGCTTTTCAATATGAACGTACCATGTAGGGGAAATATGGGAAATGCCGACCAATTAAGAAAAATAATTAATAAATACCAAACTAGCTATAATTTAAAACTTGTTTTATGTAAAATTTAACAAAGTACAATTAGGAAGAATAAGTGAAAGTGAAAACATGAAAATTAAACAAAATTAAACATTTCATAAAACATTAAAAATGTACCTACCAATACGGGCAATATCAACCATAAAAAAGCCTTATAAAAAATGCCCATTAATGACAAAATAACAAAAGAACAAACTGAAAAATATACGTGATAACTTCAAACAAGTAACTTAAAAAGTCATACGAATTATTAAGAGATTTATGGCCGACAAAAATGACAAATATACACTTGAGTGATTTCCACGCCTGCACATTCTGCATGTGATGATTGTCCACAAGGGCAGGTTACCCACCACTCATTGTCCTTTTCAAATTCCGTGCATATGATGCAAGGGTCCGTGGCCTCTTCCATTTTTTCTCTTGCTATTTGGGTTGTCTTACTTCAGTTTATCATCTGTCACTAATTTTCTTTTGGTTTCCTTAGATTTTGCCAGTTCTATTTTTTTTAATTTTGAATTTTCTTTAATCTCTAATTCTATTTTATTTAGTGTCACGGTAAATACTTGAGAATGTGTTTTCTTGCCCTTTTCCTGGCTTGACCTTAAAAAGCGAGGAACAGGCTGAAGGTCTTCAAATGACACATTCGCCCTTACGCTTTTTTCTAAGTCATTATCAGTATCTTTATTGGTATACTATACTAGTGTCTAATTCGCTATCGATATCAAAATCATTCGACAATTTTTCTATACTTTTTTATCTTGAAATTCCTGATGGTCCAGCTTCTGCTAAGTCTTTACTTGATATGTTTTTCTTAAGGATTTTTTATAGTCTGTTTTATCCTTAATTCCTACGTCCTATTTCGCCATATCCCCGTTGCTTTTGAGGTTCATCTCACTCTTTCACGGTTTCTTCTATAATGATAAATTCTTCCTCATTTATGACATCTCTATTTATTGAAAAAATTCCTGTTGCCACAAAGCCTTCTACACCTTTTTTTTTCAATTGTTGCTATCTTGTTGTGGGCCTTTTTAAACAACTCGGCAATATCGGACTGTTCAATTTTTTGATAATTTTTTGACCTAAGAAAAGAATCACACTCGCGGTTGTACGCGGTTTTCAATGGCCCATAAAAGCAAACGTCGGGAGGTTGCAGTCGATGGGATGTGTGAGGCGGTATGGTCACTACGTCTATACCATTCGCCTTACAAACATTGTACACTTTTAGTGTACAATGACTGCTATCATTACCTATAATTAACAATACTCTGTCCATGATTGAAGATTTAGTATGCCTTGCAAAATACTGAATCCATTCTAAGAAGAGGTCTTCGTTGATCCAACCATTTTTTAAAACTTTATAGAGAGCATTTGTTGGACCATTTATTGTGGGCTCATATTTCATTCTAGCCCTTCCGAAAATAAACATGGGAGGAATGTATTCTCCAGCGGCACTCATTGAACAGAGGACTGTTACCAGCTTTCCCCGTTCTCCACTTGTAATGGTACCAACTTGCCGTTGTCCTTTAACATCCAAAATTTTCCCAGGAATGTGTACAGGAGTTATACTGGTTTCGTCTGCATTGTAAATAAGATTGGCAGGATAATTATAATTTTTAAACATCCCAGACAAATTAGACAAAACAGGTCAACTTCTTGCTTGTTAAACCCTTTTACCCTTTTTCAGGGATATATTAAGGTGCCTTTTCATAAATCCATAGTACCAGTCATTACCACATATTTTTTTAACTTTGTTAAAATTGTTTGATATATTGTTGACTTCCGCGTATTGAAAAGCGATTTTTTTGACTTGGTATCCCGACAATCCGTAAAACAACTTGGACATTTTAATTATATAATTGCTGAGCTCCTCCTCCTGGTCTGGGTTAAGAACTGCAAGTCTTTCCAATTTCTTATTATTTACGACGACTTTGCCTCTAAGACGGTCCTGGAGAGTACCATAAGGTACATAATATGTTCTAGATGCTTTTCTTATTCCCATCGATTTTGTTTGAACAGGATATATAGCCCAAGTCATGTCTTCAATAGACCATGAACCTCGATTTGTTTTTCTGTTGTACTTAAAGATCATTTTTATGATATCTGGGAAAAAAAGAACAATTATAAATTTCGGGTAAAACCGACCAATATTTACCTACGACATTATTAGAAAAATAAGGTGATGTCTGCATGCAGTTTCAACATAAAAAATGTTCAAGCTAATCGATGCCGTACACATATAGAAAAAATATAACTGGTTTTCAGAGTACTCACCTATTTTAGAACTCAAAATCGTTATAACAATTCAGGTAGAAAAATATTTTGGAACACAAAATTTCACAAAGCCAAACAACGACGTTACCGGTACTTGTGCCTGCCTGCTTGTATATCCATCGATGGCGCTGCATAACACTGCATTTGGCGCGCTATTTAAATTAAAATCTCCTGGTCGATTTTAACCAGCTGGTTGGTTTTCCCCATATTACCCCTACCTAATTATTATAGATTTACTTTTTCAAACATTTAAAGTGTTATAATATACTTATTCTTCTTTTTATCCAATTCTGTAATATTTACTTTTGCTTTTAAAATTGCCCAGAATTATTATCCAGTACAAAGGAAACGCACAATATATTTTTAAAATTATTTTAAGTGGGATTAAGAATATTATTACCCAGAAGTTAATTTTGTAAATCTCTTTCATAATAATTAATATGTATCTTTTCGTTTAAAACGATTTATCCACCATTGTTTTTTTTATTCTTGTTGAAACTAAATCATTTTGTATTTGGTATTGAATGACATATTAATTTTACAGCATTGCATTCTGAAAAGACAGACAATGATTTGGAAAATATTTTTTTATTTTTAACCGACTTCAAAAAAGGAGGAGGTTTTCAATTCGTTAAGATGTGGCAACGGCATCCGCACGATTTTGAAGTCGATTTTTAAAATTACTTTTAATACTTGTATAGAGAAAATTTACCAAATCTATTCAAACGCATAAATAATTTATAAAGGCGACTATGTTAATTTGTAAAACTATATATAGGCACGCACTCATAGAATCTTCCATCTTCTAATAAATAATAAGCTTTTTGATACATAATTTTAAACAACATTTGGTGGAATTGTTGAAGCATAACCCGTTTGAATGACCTCAGTTTTCAAGCATAGTCTTCGATATTATTTATACATTACCTACAACAGGGTTATTTTCTTATGAATATATGAATATTCAGTCTTGCGATAGCGCATTAGATGTAAGCCAACATCATGATTGGAATGTACAAAAATATTATATTATTATGTTTATTTACAAGTAGTTTTCAAAAAAATGTAAGTGAAATATTAACAAAAGATTTAAGAGTTGCTCTTCCTAGCGGTGATTATTTTCCTATGGTGGGATGTAAGTTATAAAAGATAACCTAAAATAAACATAAACTAATAAACAATATTTTAGTTGGTACCAGTAAAATTTTGGGCACTGCAATCGTTAGGAATGCATTGGATCAAGCATTAGCAGCTGGATATCGGCTATTTGGTATGACCATTTATTTCTTTTTCGGTGTTATTCTGTAAAGCTTAATTTATAACCGCCGTAACGTAACTTATGAACTTAACGTACCGTAGAAAGTTCGCCAACTTAAGATCGTATAGTCAGCCAATGAGATAATTCTGAGTTCAGCATGTGATAATTGTCAATTATTCTTTTTATACCATTTGTAAACTATCATTCTCCTTTTTTATGGACATACATTATTATCATGAAACATACATTATATCTTGAATGATTTGTGTTTATGTTATTGGGGATAAACTATTTATGAGATATGAATATTGCTACATATACCTATTAACATCAAGTCTAGAACTGAAATAAGACACAAGACTAGTTTGCTAGGAAAAATTAAATTCTCAATATTGCTTAAAAACAATCAACATCTTCGTAAACTATTCTGTTTTATTATATTTTTTTATTATTGCTTTTAATGTAATTAATATATTCTTTCTATATAGCAAAATCATAATTTATGAGTTTTATTTGGAGGTTAGGTACATAGTTTACACTGTGGTTTACACTTGTTTATTTCATAAGGTTGTCAGTAATTTGATAGTCTCTGAAATACAACACGCATGCTCAACTCTTACGTTACGGACATTTATAAATAGACTTTATTTTTATATCTTACGTTAAGTTTTTACGGCGTTAAGTTACGTTACGGTCGTTATAAATTATAATTTGAATTTTACAAAAAATAAAATGGGAAAAATAATTTTTTGGTGAATGTACAAAAAGGGAATACCACAAACACATTAAAAAATAAACCTTGGGACCTTGGGTCCGTATTTATAAACAGATCTCAGCCAAGTCCGACTCATTGTCAGCTGAGTCGTCATGGATGAAAATCGAAGTTCGGTTATATCTCGTGAATAGAGGACTTCTATACAAGAGAAGTGCAACCAACTTAACAAAATAAAATTGACACTAATGACATAAGAAATCGGGTCACATAAAGAGGCTGTTTTTTAGTTTACTTTTTTGTTTTTCTTATATACTTTTATGCCATTTACATACCATGTTGTACCCGTAGGGTAAAAAGGTCTTTTTAGTTTAGGGTATTTTATATCTAAAGGTTGAAAACATTTGTCAGTGTCAGCTATCAATTATGTTGTTGGTAGAACACAGGCGTAACCATAGATGGGCATAACGTAACTAGTATTGTATATGGTTGTATAGTGTATGGAACTTGTGTTTGTAGGAGCAGCATTTTTGCATTTAACATAAATATATAAAACCAAATGAAAAAAATGTTTAAAGAAACCGGGAGAAACACAAATAGACATTAACAATAAAAAATAAATCGCAATGCTACGCTTATGTTTTGACATTATCGACAGCTGATATTAATAAATGTTTCAACCTTTAAATATAAAATACCCTAAAATTTTACGTTACGGGTACAATATGGTATGTAAAGGGCACGAAAGTAGATAAGAAAAACCAAAAATCGAACAAAAAAACAGCCTCTTTATGTGACCCGATTTCTTATGTCATTAGTGTCATTTTTATTTTGTCAAGTTGGTTGCACTTCCCTTGTATAGAAGTCCTCTATTTAGAGATGGGTAGTAACAAATCCGTAAATGTACAGTTACAGATTTGCTACTATCCATTTCTAAATTCCAGTGTAACACCCTGGGTTGTGTTCGATAAGTCACTCTCAGAGTACATTTTACTCTTTCACCGTTCGATTATTATCGAGTAACTAATTTAAGTTCATTAAATAAGCGTTCGAAAAATCGAAGTTTTGTAACTATCCGTAACCCAACAAAATAACAAGGTAGATTTTACTCGTCTTGCGCAATGAGATATTATGTGATATAATTTCAAAAAAGGAAAACGGAACAAGAACACCGATCGCAAAATTCAGGAATTGTAGCCGGTTACTATTACAGTGTGCCAGAAGCACCGAGTTTTTTATCCTTCCTCCATGGTTCTTTTGTGTTATGATAATTGTGGAATTAAATGTATTATTAAATTATTAAATAATGCATCAACCTACAACAAAAGAGCATTTATTGTTCGAAATAAATGGACAAATTGTTAAACTAAATGAACCTGATAAAGACTTAATTTATAGATTAAAACACGGTGAGTAAAAAAGTACATGGGTTTTATTCAAAGAGACTTCTTGGTTTTACCTAATAAATTATGTGATAGTGTGTGGTCCAAAGCGCTCTGAAGCTCTAGTTGTACCTTCTCCAAATAGGTTAATTACTTTAATGTAGAAAAATCCTGAAACCATGCCATAATATTTAAAAATCCAAAAATTTTGTCATTTGTCTGACAAATGATAAACGTTGATCTCAAAAACTCAAAACCGTTTGATTAATAGTTAACCCGGTTTAACTCTAGCCAATTTTGTCAGAGAGTAAACTCTAACTACGAGAGTCATTTATCGAACACAACCCTGGAACTTTAGAGAAGTTGTAACCGAACTTCGATTTTTGTTCAAGAACGACTCACCAAAGTCCGACTCATCTGAGTTCTTTTTATAAATACAGACCTAAGTAAAAAAGAGGCCATATAATATTGTAAAACGTAGAAAAATTAAATAAATTATTCATAAAAAAACTTATAATCCAACGTCAACTAATCAGCTGCTGCCCCATTCTCATTTGTCATTCGAAATTTCCTTGTAAAAATTCTAACACAAAACATTACCAGAATCCCAAAAATAAAATTACTTGCAAAAAAGTGCAAATATATCAATTATGAAACGGTTCTTGATTTGGGTCAGAACCAAAGTTACTGATCGAGAATTGTAATGGAACCCTTCCCAAGAAAAACCAAAGCACAGAACTTACAGGTTCGGAACTAGTTCTAAAGAAATCAAAACAGCTCATGATCCAAAGTTCTTGAACAGTTACGAAAGTTAACCAAAACAAAGCTTATGTTAACGCTTGTTAAAAGTGTTGCATATCTTTTTGAGCATCAGTTAATTAATTGTTAATAAAGAAAAGAAATTTATTACAAATGTATTATAGAAAAAATAAAATAGTGTAACTTACTTTAAAAAATCAAATCCTGGTAGATGAGGTCCCGTAATTCGGTAGATGAATTCCTAAATCGGTATATCGGTAGAATGATTCCAAAATCGGTAGGTCTACCGAAAAATCGGTAGGGTTGGCAACACTGATAGCAGAGGCAGTAGTTAGAAAGGCTTTTGGTAGGTAAAGAGGGGGTCAACGTCAAACCACGTCGGACGACTTCGATCATTTCCAGGTATCGGTAACTGGTATAGCCCGAGCTGAAACTATATTTTTGTTTCAAGGAACAGATTCTAGATGGCGCTGTACACAACAATTTACAGAAATCTACAATTGATGGTGGAAAGAGTGGGAGTGTCATTTGTCAATTGTCAGGCATCCATTATCGATTACCTCGCGCTGAATGACATTTGCCATTTTACCTGTATTTTTTGTGATTATCAATATCATATTGTCAATAATTATAATTTGTTTGTATTTGGGTGTGCTCTGGATCCTGGATGAATAAATAGTAAGTATTTTGTAAATAATTGTTTATTGTATTGTCAACTTGGTCTTGTTCAATTGTGTTTTAAATGTTCAATTTGTTTACTTGATCTTGCTGACGATTGAGCTTATTTTAAATTTTTGTGGTCATTTTTAGTTATAAAAGCTGTAATATATCGTATTGTTGTATGCCAAATTGTTTTGTAAACACTCTGAAATCCTAATAACGATTTATTTCAAATTTGAGTATTGGGTGTTCGCAGTCCATTTTTCAAGAATAAAACAACAAATTTGTAAAAACTATTTAGTATGTGATAAACATTTTGAAGATATGTTTAAAGTTCTTGGTGCACGCAGCGATCGATCTAACTGTATTTTTATTTGTTCTAGTACAAACTTTTTCAAGCCGTTTGGAGTGGCAGTAGTATTGCATCGTTGAAGACAAAAACAGCCTAGTCAGGGAAGTAATAGTCACTGTACTTTTTGTATTCATGCCTCACATTTGATTTTTATATTGATTTAGTTCAGATTGTTTCTTTTACTGTTTTTGTATTTGTTCTAGGACAAACTTTCTTCAATCCGTTTGGAATGGCAATATTGGATTGTGGAAGACAAAATAGCATAGTCCGGGAAGTAATGGTCAGTATACCTTTTTTTATTTATGCCTCACTTTCTGTGCTCCCCAACAGATTTGAAGGGTTCAGGAAAAAAAGGGGCCTAGTCACAATTACCAAAATGTTCAGAAAACCAAATTTAATTTAGACTGACTAAATACAAACTTTTGATACTTTAAGGTAATTGATTACAAAAAGATGTTACTTTGTTTAAATGTTGCCTGATTATATTGTAGTTTACCACTTAATTTACCAGACAGTTGTAATTTTTTATTCTAAATACTAAAAATGACAAACAAACAGTAGGAAAGTCCTTGGACATAATTTTAAATGCACTGTTTTGCATTTGCTAATACTGGTATTTTACAAAATAGGGCGGGCCAGTTCAATTTTGTTAAAAATGTGGCTTAGCTCCTTTTTTCTTCCTGTACCCTTCTTGATTTATAAGTTGATTAATATTTATTTTTTGTTTTAGATAAAACTCTTCGACCTCTGTGGACAATGACTTAACTTTCCAGCTAATTAATACGCTACATTTAATTATTCTATTTTGTATGTTTTTTTGTTTTAATAAATTAATTTTGTTGATCATGCTTTTTAATTTTTTGTAAAAATATTTCAACTTGTAGTCAAGTTAGGATTGGTTCATACTACTCATTTTTTGCTTTATTGTAACAAATATAATTTTATTGCTACAATAAACGTAAAAAAGGAGTTGGTATGAACAAATCTTAATTTGACTACCACTTTTAAACTAAATATTGAAGGACCATTTTGAATGTTCCCGCGTTTTGTGTTAACTAAAGTGACCGCGAGATGGCGCCACTTCCGCCAAATAGTTCAAAGAACGCACACCGGGTGTTACAAAACTGTCTCAAATTTTAACATTGCA